GTAGATTCCATCCAGAGACAGGAGCTGGCGCATGACGTTACTCTCGAAGTCCTGAAGTGCGCGAGGGCCAGTTGGCTGTACACAGATTTAAATCCCTATCAATGATTCGTTATCGGTTCATTGACACCAGAATCTACCTGATGGATGGTGTGAACAAACGTTGGCGTCACTGATCGAGACACAGATCTTTGAGAGACAGACCTAATTCGCCCACGTATAATTATGGGAGGAAATGTGCGCAGGCGCAGTAATACTCCACAAATTTGAAACCCTGTACACACCTTCGCTTAGGCTGTCACGAGCCCTTCATTTGGCCATCTTATCAGAGGGTAAATTGCGCACGAGGTACTCGTGTCCGAGACCTTAAAAGGTGCTTTTAACGAACAATACTGATTAGGACAAGAAACGGCGAAAGCACGGTGGTGAAAGTCAAATAATTAATGGTGACATGCATTAAGCCTCATTCTCAGCTGAGAAGAGACGAAGGTTTCAGCAAAATTGCACGACAAGTCACCAAGTTGATAATGGTAGCATCAAGCTACAAAGGTCTCCTAGGAAGTGAATCGTGGTGTAGAAAACCGGTGAAACCCGCAGGCCACCAAGACAGCAGAGGGAGGCTACACCTTTTTTGTGCCGTAATTTTACAAGATTTGCTGGTTTAGGAGTATAGAATTCACTGCATCTTTCACAGTACACATGTGAATGAACAAGCAGACCTAGGCACGATATTGTCGGCCGTGAAAGGTCGTTAATAGAAGTCTACTGGTGTCCATGACAAGACAAGTAATTTGTGTGAGCGATAAAGACGAACACACTCTGCGCAATCTTACACGTAATACCGGAAGTCTAACCCCCTTTAGTTGACCATCTAATTGTGGACACAGAGGGAATTATATCTGAAAATTATAGGTGTAACGTCTGGCAGTTGTAGTTTTGTTGACGAAGATCCTCTTTGTGTGCAGATCAAAAATAATGACAACAACATGTACAATATCTTAACACTCCACACACAAAATTGACCACCTGTTAATGAGCGTGATGTTTAAAACAAAAGACCTTTCAACTTTGGTCGGCCCACATCGTTAGAAAAGAGAACAAAATTTGTGTTCCCACGAAAAAAGAAACGCTTAAGGCAAAAATATTTTGCTGATTGACCGAGGCTGTTAATATTTCACTAATTTTATAATGAATGCTCTTCGTTTATTAACATTTTCACTCAGTGAAAGAGAGTTCCAGATCTTGTTGCAGATGAGCAATTTGTTTCATTATGCCAATATTTATCTCCGATCTCCTCGGGAAAAAAACTGAGAATATCTCTTTTCCAAGTGTCATGATGGGATGCGACGCCCTGTATCGGTTGCTTCTCACTACATTTATTACTTTTCAGTATAAATGGTTGAGGCGACTTGCCTGAGGCCCAAATTTCGCCTGTCAACAGTTGGATTCAAACCCCTGACCTATGATCTGCAACTTCAATCCCAAACCACTATACTCTAGAATGCCCCTCGATTACTGTGTAATTGGCCAGTGCGTTGCAAACCCTAGTGCGTTGAGGCGCGCTATTGTGAATTGCCTGTATTGTTAATATTTTAACAGCGCGGAAGAACTCAATGAAGTGATGTTGAACCTCGGTGAGAAGTTGACTGAAGCAGAGATCAATGCAATGATTCAAGAGGTCGACACGGATGCAGACGGGAAAGTCAACTACAACGGTTGGTTGCCTGTTTAAGCTCACATTCAATTTAGACCTGCGTTTTTATCGATGGGCCTCCATCTTGCTGTACATCACAGTCAGAGCTTATGCTCATGAGTGGTTGGCAATCGTTAATTTTCCGCCAGTTTAGAAGTAAAAGTGTGGTTCACAATTTATAGGCCTACAAAAAATATAAATGCCACTACTAACTCCCTTGCTGAATGTATTAAATGACCTTTTCTCTCATTATTAATTTCAGAGTTCATCAAGGTCCTTACAAAATAGGCAGAAAATAAAAAATGCCTGAAGAACTTCCAACAACCTTCGTTTTCATCTTCACGAGCAGGATTACCTGGGTTTGAAGTCACCTCCTCGTGCCTCAGCTAAACAGAAAGTAAAGTTTTGTTTTACAAAGTAAAAGCAACTGAGAGCTCATAGCAAATTGATAGCAAAATAAAGCTGCCGCGTGGTGTATTTAGATTGTGTTCAATAAAGATTTTTCCCATGAGCCTCTTGGGTACATCTTTGATGTTGGGCAGCTTCCCAAACAAGGAGTGTCTACGAGTTTCAGTTACAGAATAATGGTAAAGTCGGTAGCCGTATTAGCACATAAGACCCGATTTGGACACGTCGTCATCGAACAGCAAATGATTTGTTGTAGGGTACAAATTCAGCTGTCCTTTTTTGGCTTTTTATCAAATTAATAGACTTTTGTAGTGTTTTGCAGGCCCTGGTGCGTGGGTTCTTTTGTGTTGGATATTGTTTAAAGGTTTCTTTTTCATTCAAATAGGTTTCACGGTTCATGTACCACTATGAAAAACTGACGATTCCGGACATATTATACAATCTATATAAGAAGTGAACAGTTGTAGTTTTCACCCTTTTCCGTAGTATTCGCTCTCTACATACGGGCGTTTCACAACAGCGCCTCCAAGAGTTTGCAACGCAAGGGCCAATTACAATGCACGAAATTTGTCGACTCATTCCGAGTTGGGAGAGGGTTGACAGATTTCGCACATTGTGATTGGCCAACGCTTTGCAGATTCTGGGAGGCGCGCTATTGTGAATCGACCGTACTGTTAACTGTTGTATGGGAATATGGTGTCTGACTATTTTAGGAGTTTTGTGAGATTTGTTTTAACCCCTTTTCTTTTTCTTAAAAAATCGCACATGCTACACTGATATACACAGTTTACTCTTTCCATTTTATTTATCCGTGTAAAGAGGTCATAATTTGTCAGGTAGTTTTAAGTAATTCCTTAATTAACTGACGCCCTCAAGTTAAAATTATGAAAAAGTTAACTTCACTTTCAGTTTCAATATTCAGTTTCAACAAGTTTCCTTGTACGATGTAAAATCATGTAGCGTGCCAAGATGACTCCATTCTGCCATTAAGGTACCAGATTTCGCCCATCAGAAGCAAACAAATATATGCACTGTACAATTCAGATAATTTCCACGCCCTGTTCTACAGGGATCTTCGTGAAATTCACACCTGTCAGTTACTTTATACTTTATTATGCTTCACGCCATATTTAAATGTTTATGTGGGCAAGCTTCATAGGTGATGTTCAATATTATTGAATTCAAAATATACAAAAATATACGGCAACACACACTATAGAACAAGCAGGACAGTAATGCTTTCCATTTAAACTGACAAAAGTAACGATGCTCCAACGTTTTTGTCTTTCTTTTGCATGTCTATGTATTCTATTCATTATTATTCTTTGTGGCGGTGGCACAATAATTTTGTCTTAAAAATCTAATAAAACTGTGTTTTGTATCTGCAGAAATATAAGCAGAAATGTTTATGAATATGAACATTCCTGGCATTTTGAAGCATCCGTGATACTTTTGACCACTTGGTGCTTGTTTGCTGGAAGAACATATTCAAAATCAGCAAACTCCTTAAAAAACACCCCAAAACAAAAACCGACCAAAATGAAGGCACGACATTTCATTCATTGAAAAGAAAAAGGGTCTACCGTAGACCCTTTGAACTGAAAGCGCTTTTATCGGGCGAAGCATAGGTACAGAAAAGGTTATATTCTCAATCCAAAAGAAACACCAAGCCCCCCGATCTCTACCACAAATAAGATTGGATTAATATATACACCATTAGCAGTAAATTAGCCATGTACCTCAAGGAAAGGCCGCCCATATCTTAAATTGCACTCAGCAGCTCTTACTTTATGGCTACCAGCTCCTGCTTGCCCGTGTTTGCCAACAATAGCGTGGCAAGGTTGTAGTTATAGCCTTGTGCAGGAGGTACCCCGCCGTTCGGCTTGCACTACTGGCCTTAAGGCCCAAAGAGGGAGCCCTTCTTGGCACATGCCACGGTGCCTTTTACGGCCTTTAACACTGACACATCAAGGTCTAGTTTAGCATTAAGGAGGGTGTGTCATGCGTCTATGATGGGTTTGGGTGAATAAATGAGACCGGACAGAACTCTGTACAAACTCTGGGTAATTGCATGAAATGATCTCAAATGAATACACGAATGTGTATCACCGTGATCTCTATTTATAAACCGTAATGTCCCAGATTCTAGTTTAACGGAGCGATGATCGCATCTTCACAAGTGTACGAATTCCCTTTCTCCCACTTTCTCGTACTTTCCTTTGGGATGGCACAACTGCCGAGATCTCGGCCCTGGCATCCCTCCACCGGGGGAACTTTCTCGAAGTTCCTCGCGATGGCCGCGCTTGCTGCCGGCTCTTCGTCGTTGATCTGGGCAGCCAGGTTTACGTACGTATGTTGTGGTCCAGGTGCATGACCGTCGTCTCCGTTGTCATCCGTACACTCCGCAGCTCCCGTAGGCAGATTGTCTGCTGCGTGTAATGGGTGCGGACGACCAGGAAGAGCTACCGACGAAGAACCGCACGGCTCACTTGCCATCAGGTCTTCCAGATTTTCAACTATTTGCCTGAAAGAGCAACGCCTCTTGGACGAATCCTTCCAGCACTCTTGCATAATTTCAGATCTGAAAAAAGAGGACAAGTTGTTTTATGAAAGAGTGTTTTGATGTAATGTGCAGTACCGTCAATGCAGTGTCGATGGCGGCTTTGGATAATGCTCAGCAAATGGCTTATTGGAGTAATTTGCCACGATGTCATGTCGTCAAATTCAAACATTCATTCTGAAAGATGTTTGAGAAAACAGCATCCTGCAAACAGTCCACCAGTAGATGTGTGTATAGCCTTTCACTTGTTATAAACAATTGCCTTGTTTGAAGGCTAGAAATTAGGTTCCCGTGGAGAAGAAAACAAAAGGCCCCACTAACGTGATATTCCCTATTGCAAGAATCAGTCTCATCGGAGATTCACATTGGTATTTGGAATAGGATACTGAACCGAACAATCAGCCACATCTCTTGCACCACATCAATAGCTTTGTCTGCAGAGAGTTCAAAAATAGAATTTCATCACAGATTTCTCACATCTTCTTCGGGCAAAACTTGGGTGGATTCATGCGCTTGCCCTCCTTGAGGAAGGTATAGACATCCCTGTTGCGGAGATCGGGGTAGGGCTTCTTCCCTCTGGAGAATAATTCCCACAGAAGCACGCCGTAGGACCACTGTAAGAGAGATGACAAATGGAAAGGGAACTGTTGGTTACGAATTAGTCCCACACACAAGCAGTGTTCTTCAAAGAAAAAGAAAAGTCCAGAATTTTATTAATCGGAGCGTCAAGAATTTTTTTATCGGAAACAGAAACCAGCGAAAGTTGAAAAATATGGTCAAACAAGTCTTTGTTGCATCCACATAGTGCATGACTTCCGTTGTGTGTCTAAATTAGTCTAGTGCCTCGGAAATGTTTAAAAGATTAAAGTCTTAGCCATTTTGACAACCAAAGCACCAACGAGCAAGTGCTGACCCAGAAGCAAAATTTTGTTTTGTCGTCCAGGAGAGAGCCAATAAGGGATGATCTGACGAATGAACAGAAGCCACTATCGAGCAAAGCCATCAATGGCGGCTGAAATGGCTCGTCCGGTATATTCTGATGGAGCTGACAATACGCCATGTTCTGTGTGTGTTCCTCAATGGCGGTTTGGGCACAGTGCGTGGGCACGCCCTCTCGGCATTGAACACCAGCAAGTTGGGCCGACCGTCAATTTTCGGGGTTGAACGAAAGATCAGAGAATCGATGTACAGGTAACGTAAACAAGATTCAAGTGGAGTCGACCATCAGAGTACAAAGGCCGTCCGTAAAATGGAGGTCGTTGTTGTCAGCAAAGCGCACTCCCTTGTCGGCGCACGGCCCGAGCAAGTAGCGATTAAACCAGCCGCACGAAGCAACCCAAAGACAGGCATCTTAACTGCCACAGTTAAGGTTAGAAAATACCTAGAATATATTAAATCTTGGGTGGGGTCTTCCTGCCAGCTATCTCAAAGCATAACACGAGCTGGCGATGTTGATGGAGAAAGATGACGATGGGCTAGGAAATTAAAGGAAAGTGTGTACTCGGGAGACGTACCACATCTGTCTTACTATTGTACACCATTCTTTCCATTGACTCGGGTGCCATCCACTTAAGTGGTAACTTGGCCTGTTTGTCACCACTGGTGTAGTAGTCTGACTCCTCCAGGTCACGGGACAGCCCGAAGTCTGCAATCTTAGCGACAAGTTGGTCATCAACCCTGTAAATGGGATGGCAAAGCAGAATTTCATGACCATGACCAACGAGAAATTTCCCAGGGGCCTCAAGCTGGACCAAGTGAGGGCGCATTTTTTTTGGGTCGAAACTGATCACTTTGCTGGTTCACGAAATCCATGCATTAATACAGTTGCATCGCTACCAAAAATGAACACTCTCGACCAAGATAACTCTTATCAAATGATGATAGGTGCTTCTGCTAGATGTGAATTATAACAGGGTATACCTAGATATAACTATTATGGTCCCTGTTCACACAGACATCACCACTGAAAATGCCTAAAATCAGTATGCAGTTGCTATATCAACAAGCTTTAATGAAAGCAACATCAGAATAACATGATGGTATCAAAGTTTCATTTCAAGTGATTGTTCACTTTGCCTAGATCGGTTTATAAGCCTAACTGCAAGCCTAACCCCCTACGTCACATGCTGGACCCGCAATTCTTGAAATAACCTGCTAGGTCCCGCCTATATGCTTTGGTAATTAATAATCCTATACTTACATGCAGTTTCTGGCGGCCAAATCTCTGTGCACAAAACGCTGTCGGGCAAGATACTCCATCCCAAGGGCCACTTGGTACGCAAACTGTATCAGCAGTGGGTGGGTAATCTTCTGCCATTGTATACACAAAACGAGGAGGTGAAATGGCAGAACTGACAGGGTCGTGTACGTGGAAATCAGTGTGAGGCAAAGTAGTCTAAATTACTCTGGATGACTGACGTCTGGTTTCATTTGTATTAAATACATGAACATGTTCAGTCTTCTTATTTCTGTTCTGAATTATACCTGATATGATATACACTTTGAGGTCCTACCCTCAGCCATTTTTAAAGCTCGTTTGGATGCACAGATTTAAAGTTAAAACTTTCTTTTGCGTGAACAAGCTATTTTGCGAAATTTCGGTAGGAAATAGTATCAGAGAGTCACGTATAAGAGACATTTGATATAAAGCAATATGAGCGATTTGTTACTGGCATGTGGCCAGCGGCGTAGTTGGGGTGGGCGGGCTTGGGGGTGACCCCCTATTAAAAATCATCTTTCCTCAACAACCCACTTTGGCAATTCGTTTAAAAAAGGAAATGATGGCATATTCAGAAAATACCAGGGCTTGAGCCTCCACTTTACCATCCAGCTTCCCCTCTGGCCCCCGTCAGTGAGAAACTTAGCTACACCGCTGGTGATCGTGCAATTCACTCACCGTCACCTGTTAATGTTGCATTGCACTGAAAGGAAAGGGAGCCTCGCTGAGGTCGATTCAACAAATTAGATACAGTACCTGCTTTTGCTTCACCAAGAAGGTCCTCAGGTCACCGTTTTCCATGAAAGGAATCACAATAAGTGGTTGACCAGCTGGGTCAAAGGTCAAACCCAGAAGCCCCAGGACGTTGGGATGATCGAAGGTTTTCATGATTAACCCTTCCTGCAGAAATTTGATGATCTTGCGGGGGTCACCTTTATCTGAGAGGTGAGAAAATGGCAGAAAGTTATAAATGGAGATCATGTTCCACATAAAATAACCAAGTATACAGTAAGTAAGATTTGAAGCTTTGCATGGTGGAAGTACATAGGATGTAGGTTTGCGGGTACACCATGTAATATTCTCTTTTGGGAAGAGGTGTGGTTCTGAGAAGAACCGGTGAGTGTTCAACTCGACGTTTCGGCCAGTATGCCCTGGCCGTCCTCAGGAGAATGTGTTGCTGACTCGAGTGGATGCCGTGTAATGAAGGTTGTCTGGAGTCGGTGGGGCGTGATGTGGCTTGGTGGCTTGCTGAGGGTGCACTGGAGCATGTAGGTGTTGGATCCAGTGGAGGATTAGGGATGCAAATTTTGGGCGGGAAACTAGTTTAGGCGGGAAACTGAGGATGGGATGGCTTCGGGTAGAGAGGACCCTAATACCAGGGGATGAGGGGGGCCTGGGTTTCAGGTATAGAGGACCCTACTGCCCGTGTGGTGGTGGTGGTGGTCTTGGGTGCTAGCAGTGGGCACCAGATGTCGCTCAGCTTGAATCCGATGTCTTGTGGGACGGTGTTGTGGCGGAAGATTTCGATTGCCTCCCGGATTCTTCTTGGGTGCCAATGCTTGAAGGGGGCGATGAGTTCTGCATTGTCCAATTCGATGCGGTGGTCTGATGTGTGTGCATGTTTGATGATTGCTGATTTCTCGTAGTCTCCTCTGCGGCCGTGTGCTCGATGTTCTTGAAGCACACACATCAGGAGATCAAGGTTTATGTTAGTAAAAAGTTTTAATATCGCAAACTCTACGGAAATGGTCTTTTTGAAGCTACAATCGCTTATTTGACAAGTGATGATGTTATTGTGACACTTCAGTTGTATGTAAATTTATTTTTTTTAAGTTAATCGAGCTAAATAAATATATTCGATCTATCTGCGGTCAAATTGTACAATCGATCGATAGATGAATAAAAATCTCCCACTGTTATTTATTAGCAAGACACAGCCAATAGGAAGCATGTAAAAAAATCCAAATTGAAAAAAATTCTTACAAAATGTATGTCAAAAGCAAAAAACTCTGTGGAGTTGCAACTTAAGAACGTTTCGCGTAGAAATACCTATCAAATTCAAGTTTGCTCCCAGGTTGCTTTTAAAATGTACACCTCATGGTGGCGGACATGATAGAGCCTGATATCATCATGAGAGGTGTTCCATGCTTTTGACGTAGTCGTTTTGAAATTGAACACCTTCTGATGCGACGCCTTTTGCAGCCCATGACAATTCCCCCATCACCAAAATCTCCCTCCGTATGAGGTAGGTTTACCTTGCACGGTTTTAACGGCCACTGTGCTCTGCTCGCCTTCCAGCCAGGGATCGTTTAGGACTGCTTGGTACACTCGTCCAAAGGCACCTGTAACGGGGATATGAAGGCAAGAATTTGGGATTTTTAGCTCCCTGAATGAACTGTCGAGCTGTACCTGCAGTGTTATTCTATATTCTCTTTATGAGAGATTTTTAAATTTATTTCAATAACTTCTAAATCTTGTCTACATGTTTACTAAATAAAATCCCAGGTACAACTTCATGAAAACAGACCCCGAAAGAATTGTGACTCCAAAAGTCAACTAAAGAATTATAGCGCTGAAAATCACTGACTTAATTGTAGATTCATCCTCCGCTTCAGGGACGATTTGTCGTGTTGCATAATGTTAAAGTCGACTACGTACAGCCGTCTGCGAAATCGGAATACAAATATACACAACCGCTTCGTGCCCCCAGATTTTGATTAAGCCATATTTTGTGGGTGTTCAACCTGCAACACGATAGCAAATTTGAAAAGCCTAGTCAGCTTATTATTTTGTTTAACTAACATGGTTAGCTTACGCCTATATCAACAAACGACAGTTTTTTTTTTACCAAGGAGCCCATTTTGTGTCGAAATGACGTCACATAATTTTTACATGATATCACACGTTGTTCAGGAGGGCAGCTCCTCGCTCTGTTGAACAATGGACGATAATCATTCAGACTAAATGTCAAGCGCACACCTCGATTAGTTTGTTCGGTTGGTTACACACTACGTGAATCTTCGCAAGGCATATGTGCCTTTTGCTTGCTTGTTTTCGTGTACCTTGTCCAAGCACCCTCCCCATGTCCAACTGCTCGAACCTTATCCTCAAGTCTTCGGGCACGATGGTGACATGATCGTTCAGGACGACAGTGCTACTTTGTCGGTTGGGTTTCTTGCCGTGTGTTGTGACTCTTCTGCGTTTCTTGGCTGCCTTGGATGCCAGTTTGCTGCGATCCACGGACTCAAATATTATATCTAGGGAGTCGTTCCGAAAAAAAAAAGCCCTGTGGTAATATGAGCTTTGGGTGGAGCTGGAACCGAAGTATTGTTATAAGAAGCAGTAACAACACACCTAACAGACTAAGTGGCATGGAATCTTGAGAGAATACGGAAAACAATGGCGTATCCAGCGGGGGGGGGGCAACCCAGCCCCTGAGAGATTTTTTTAAAAACAAATTATACTTCATAGGTGAGTAGGAAAGAAAGTAATCTAATCGGTATACTAATTTATCAAATAGTAGCACCAGGACCCTTAGAAAACAACACCACGAAATAAAAGCAAGGATGTCGAGACCGTAAGTTTGGTTTCTGTTATTTTACTCTACCCTAGCATCCTACTGAATGAGCCTGGATCCGCATTCGCTTTTCAATTTGCCCCCTCCCGACACCAAAACCTGGATACGCCGCAGACCGAAACGCTGTTGTCGTTAATGAAAGCGTTTGGAATAATGCAACGGTAAAATACATCAGGCCGCCTCCGATGGATTTCACCAGTGGCAAGCACAAATGAGTTCACTGGAAATGGCCGCAGCCGCGGGAACTCCACCCGTGGGAACACGAGTGATTTCCAGCCTTGTAGATCAGACGCTGTCTTGGGAACAGAAAACCCTTGTTCCACACTGCATTTCGAAAAATGTGATTCTCGTTTTCTTTGCAAGAATAAGACTGCCACACTACAACTGCAACGGTGTGTTTTTCATTGTAGTTAGTTATCTGGGAGTGTTCACTGAAATGCAAATCCCGTTCAAAAGGATTTTCTCAGGATTCTTTCGAGGGTTTGAGTATGAGACAGGCCAACAATGTGTCTGTGTAGTCGCCACGTTTCGTTACCTCCAAGATGTCACAATAAGCCACGGCTGAGATCAATACTAATAGTACATGTATGTACAGAAAATTCGGAAGTGACATTGACATTAACCTCGATTCTCCTGATTTGCACGAACACTGAAATACAGGGGTTTTATTCCAACGTAAGTGTTCGCTTTTGTTAATGTTTAGCAGGTCATACAAGCAAAGTAATTTGCACAGAACATGTGAATACTAGCGTCGCTAGTGGGGGTGGGGGGTGGGTGTCGTATCCAATTGGTCAGTTTTGTCGGCAAAAGCACCGTACGGTGCTGTCGGTAAGAATGGACAAAGAAAGGACAAGAAAGGGGAGGTCATATAAGTATCAGATCTAGGAATAGGACTACCGTCATCTCCACGACATTTGGCCATGAANGCACTGCTGGTTGGGCCATTGATTTTGGAGAATGCAGTGGCTCAATGAATTTTTTAGTGGCCCCGTGCCAACAGAGCATCGTTAAGATTGAGCGCATTGAGTGTCAAGGGCTGACGCGACATCGACGGTGGATCTTGCTACATGTATTACTAACTTTATATCCTTGGGTATCGTCGATAGGACAATAAAATTTTAGGGCTCTAGGTCTCAATTTTCTTAACTTAAAATGGTAACAAGCTGAAGTTTAAGGGACATTGAGCAAATAGTGCATAAAACGTTTTTCAAATGCTGCTCAAAGACACTATTTCAATGATTGCATTTCTTCACTTGAACCAAACTCTGGTGGCCCTGGAGGGACATCACAAATTGTCAATACTGCCGTCAATATTTGCCACCAAATTCACGACTCGTATCTCCGGTCGCAAAGATTGCCGCGCAAGCGAGGCGGAAATGAAGTGTTCACGCACACGTGCAATGACTTACATTTTTCAGCTAACTCAAGTCGTTACTCAGCTCGGCAGTTGGCACAACGAAGGGGGCACAACGTTAAAAAGCAACTGCTGTTTTTATAGCCGAGCGACTTCTCTCTCTACGTGGCTTTCTGCAAAAAATCTGCAGCAATATTTGTGACCAGAGATACGAGTCGTAAATTTGGTCCTAAATATTCGCGACTGAAGAGCGAATTTTGGTCAGAAATATTGACGGCAAAATTCGCGACCAGAGAGCGAGCAGCGAATTTTGATCGTGAATATTGGTGTCAGTATTCGCCACCGAAGAGTTGGTCGTAAATTTGGTCGCAAATATTGACGTCAATATTGACGATTGGCGATGTCCCTCCATGGCCCCCATACAGTGCTCGTAGCATGCTCTCACAAATGCGGCGGGCGCGATATACGTGACACTATAACAACGGTAAGCCATAACACAATATTAAAGAATTTTGAGTCTTTCCTTTCCTTTTTGTTTGGGCTTTTGATTGATCATAGTTTTTGAGATCATTTTTTAAGTCAATAACATTTCTACGAAATGAGAAAAATCCTGCAAAACTGTTACTTGTTTCTTTACCGGAATGCGCCTTTCAAATTCAGAAACGCATCAATTTTGGACAGTTATGAGCCGAAATGCCATGATGCATCGTGTACGATGATCTCCTACAGTACCACATTAGTATATCTTCCTTTACTTGTAATTTTACAATTTTTTTCTTCCATTTGTACAATTTGTCCAAAATATACCGTCCATTCAACCGCCGGCTGCCATTTTGTTTTCCAAGAACAACGCCAGAGAGCTCACGCAAAACCGCATGGTATATAATTATATGCACATGCACAACTATGAACCAATTCAGACAAACCTGGCCAAATCTCGTTAGGCCCGCCCCCACCATGGGCCCACACTCAATCTTGGGTCTTAATGCACAACCTGCGCTCCGGCTGGAGATGACAACATCGACAAGGGGAGTAGGCCTACGTGGGGTACCTGCAAAGGGTATGGCTATTGACACGTGTCCCAACAATTTTTTCCAGGATTGTAGGTCGGCGAAATTTATTAGGAAATAAGCAATATGGCATGCTGCAGTTGGTGTATCCGTGGTGCGGGAAGTCCATTTTGAACACGGCCAATTAACTCTTTGTGATGCATCAATTAGACATCTTGGGGGACCTGGGATAGGAATGCACAGTGCCCTTCTTTTCTCTTGGGCGTACAGGTGGGTGGACCCAGCGATAGGAGCGCAGGACCAAGGGAGGGCGGGTCCTGTCTTCTGATCCAGAGGCGCATTCCCTCCAATTACTCTACTCGATTCAGAACTTGAATTCGAATTTACTTGAAGGAACTTCTGCAGTGAAATCTGAAAAGAAATGAGAGCCACATACCTTTATAAAGAGCTCTGATTTGATCCAGTAGAAGGAGCTCACTGTAACTTTTCATCCTTTGGGCTTGTCTGTGATATTTGACCAGAAGTAACGTCAACACTACGAGTAGGCACGCCACAAGCGGCGGGAAGACAAAAACAGTAAGAACATAAAGCCAGTGCATTCCCATCTCTGTCCTTTGCTGACGGCACGCTCCAGGTTTCTCGAAAATCTGTAGTGATGTGATAATAAGTTTTTTGCTAGTTAACTTTGACCTAAATCTTGTACACCGAGTTCTTTAAATTCACGTGAACATAACAACTTGAATTCTCCTTACTAAAATCACTGTTGCTATACCTCGTGATTCGGGGCAAGTTTTTGCTTAGTTACATAAGAGACGCCTTGCAACAATACACTGTTCTCATTGGAAAAGAAGGGCACAAAGGAATCAGTCCATTCCAGAGATGGTGGTCGCTATGCGAAAGCTTGCCCCGAATATAGCAACAGTGTCTTTAGTCTGGGGAATTCAAATTGTTATGTTTATGTACAGTCAGATAACTCAGTGCACCAGACTTTATTCAAATTTAACTCGCAAATGGCTTATTTGAGACAGGCAGTCGACACTCGTGTTCAAAAAAAAAACAGTCGAAAAACAAAGCCAACCCTGATAAGCCATCGTACCACCCCACCGAACCCAACCACGCAGTCCCCGGTTCTGTTCGCTTTCATTTATTCCTAGGAACGGACATAACTCACAGTCAACCTACTGTGATAACGTAGATCGCACCACCTCGTTGTTGGACCTTGAGTTGCTTTCAGCAGAAGTGTCTCCAAGTTGGCTCAGGAACGGAGCAGCAACATTTCGTCCGACGACCCCATGGTGTGCAATCTCTTACCAGTCAGTGGAAGAGCGGATAATCGTAAGACATACACTTGTACATGTCATGACAACTCACAGCTTTATTTTGTTTCTAGACCCACTTCCTGAGTCTACCCAAGGCATGCAAACATTAACATATTGTACGAGAACTTCACGCAATGCCCGACTTTTTTCATTTCCGACTTCCTGGTTGTATTCGCCCCTGTACTTATATGACAGGCACTCACAACATTTCAAAGGCCTACGTTGAACTTGTAACACGCCGCCTGAAATGCAACCGATTGAAAGGCCATTGAACACTGTTCACGAGTTTGAAAAGCACCTGCGTTTCTGAAAGCGACGATGAATGGACTTACATGGGTGATGTTCAACTCAAATTCACTGCAGGTTCAAGTTCGCTTGATATAATCCACATATACAGATATCTCTATTCCTAGGCGTGCCAAGTTAACATTTATTCCCGAAATAGAGATATCTCTATTATATCTTTATTAATAATAGATATATCTCTATTCCTGGAATAAATGTTAACTTGGCACGTCTAGGCATAGAGATATCTGTATACGCAGATTAAATGTTAACGTTACACGCCATAACTCTGTGTATAGAACTACAGTTATACTGGGCGTCGCGGGCAGAACAAACTGGATTGTACTTTTAGGACAGTGGGGGGCCTGCAACGATAAGAACGGTTGAATTTGTTAATTGCACGAACCCGTGTCGACAAATCATTATGCTGTGTTAATTAACTCACATGACTATGTGCTCTTGTACGGATTAAAATGGAATTTGTAAGCTCACTGAGTGGGGAGAAAGAGTGTGTGGCTCAGGATTTGAGCCAAGCGGCCGTAAACCCATGTCTGACTCAGTATCGTGGATGAGGCAGAGCTGTGCGAAGAGAGAGTAGTGTCGATTAATAAGACTCCGGGAACCAAACAACTGCCCCTTTCTGGGTTGTGGTGAAACCCCGCTCTGACTTCGAAAAGATATAAAAGATAAACAAATAATTCAACGAACAATTAGTACGTAAAAAGATGACATTTTGAAAAAAGTAAGAGTTATTATTTTCTGTAGGTGAACGTTGTGAATAGGAGACGGGCAAGGGCGAATCCAGGACTTTCCAAAAGTGGGGCTTGATCCCGGATTTTCCAAAGGGGGAGGGCTTGAACTAAAGCAGTAATAAATGGTAGATTGCCCGTACCACGTGGGGTCCGGAGCCATTTTGGATTCTAGGCGCTCTATGGTGCAATTTTAGCCAGTATGACACCCTCTTTTTTCCTTCTCCCTCCCTCCTTTTCTTTATTTATGAATTAATTTATTTATTGGTGAAAAAAATGGGGGAGGGTGCGCCCTCCACGCCCCTGGATCTGCTACGTTTATAAAGAGGAGTGCATCGGTAATGTCGTTGACACCCAGGCTGTCAGCAGCAATCAGATTTAAGTTTGATGGGCTCGGCCCCACAACAGAATTTCCTAGACGCCCCGGAACTGAGGAACCCTTTTCACATGCTTATTTTATTTACACATTGCATTTTCTATTCCTACATGTACTGCTGGCGGCCTGTGAAGAGCCTCACTGCGTCCTCACTGCGACCCGTTGAAAGGGAGTTGGGAAGGGCAACCATTGTAGGATGCATAACCAGTGGGATTAATTTGTGCGGGGAATGACTTGCCCGGCGATGAAGATTTGAAAAGCGGTATGGGAGATAAATGCCCCTCCCCCTTCCCTGGGCTCGATCAGTAATCCCGTCTTTAAATCACTGACACCAAAGCCTAATGGATGGGCCAGAAATGGATTCGGATCGGCGTAAAGCAAGCGGACTTGTTATTAACACATGTAAAAAAGATGTTATTCTCTCCGTCCTCAAAGGCAAATCTTGGTTGGAAAAACCTCTTCAACAACGCCGCACCTGCAAGATTCAAACTTACATGCTTCTCGTAAACTACCAAAAGGAGGCATCAGCATCGTGTATGAGCCCCCCCCTCAGGCTGGACTTGGTTAAATATAATATCTGTAATAGACCGATTGCGTTACTAAGTCACATGATTTATAGTGGGTATTAAATATCAAGAAACACGGCGTCCACTTCACTAGTCGCCCAGCGCCCAAAGAGGGCGCTGGGAACGGCTGACGGCTTTGCGCTGTGATTGGCTACATTGTGCCCGACCTGTGACCGCGAGATTCTCACTTTTTGTTAGCGAAGCGTTATTTAAACACAGTGTGGTAATTTATCTTCTCACTAAGTATCACTGATTACGTGTCTTTTGCGATAATTACATTTCAAATCATTGGTCATTTTGATTAATTTGGGATGAACGAATAAAATGTGGTGAAACTATTTTCAGCTATGAGGAAGAAAATGAAAAAATATTGAACTGATAACTGTCGCTTGTGTAAGGCACTGAGCGAGCTCGCGCGCCAGGCATAAGTTTACCCATATGCTCCGCGCATGGCTGTGACCCCGTGTGTCGTATTTCCTTCATTAAACTCTGAGCAAAGCCATAAGCCCTTCTCAGCGCCCTGTTCGGGCGCTGCATGATGAGCGAAGGCGCCCGCCTAAAGCATGTGTTCCATCAGTATCATTCACGAAAAATAAAGCCGACAGTAGGCATTGCACTCAGGCAACTGATGTGCAGGGTGTTGTAACCTAAAACAACACTCAAAACACACTTTGCTATGAGAGCCACTTGATTTAGCGAGTGCAATCGTTCTACTCTGCAGAATAACTGCCGTTAGGCGTTTCACAGAAATCTCGATTGGTATAGTTCTCGGTTCACCTTTATTATCAGGATACTTGTGGGTTTAAACATGACAAACGGGTCCAAAGAAGCAAATTTGGCACATAGATTTGATGGGAACCCGTAAGCCTATATTTAGAAGGGTTGACGCCTGATAATAATTTCGGAGGGGTACCTTATTCTTGAATACATCCAAAATTGACCAGCAGATACTGTGTTTATGCAAATGTTAGTAATTCATCAAACAGATATTGAAGATTATTTGGGGGATTTTACCCTTAAGTCCTTTATTTTAATGCAGCTGTAAGGTATTATGAATACCTACGAGGACTAATTAGGGTGAAAACATTGCCACCTAGTCTCAAATTTGCGCACATTGCGATCTCCTCCCTCTGATTTCATAAAGAGGTCTTTCAATTAATCCACAAAGATACTTACTCGCGCATTCACCCTTCTACTAGTCATAAACACATAAAGAATACCAGGCAAACAAAATGGAGGGTCGCCATGTTCAGCCCGAAATGGGATCAAGGCCGACTCGTGCACTCGGCACAAAAGCGAACTGGCGAATCTGTGACGCGCGAATGATTCGTAACGGTCACACTGTTTTCTCCTTGCTGGACGTACGTCGCACTCTTTTCCTACCTCCATGGTCAGACCAACCATGGCCTTCCGAGAGAACCGAGCGAAGTCGGGCAACCCGCCACCTGTATTCAAAGCCATCCGTCCAGAAATATATGCATTTGTGTGTTTTTCCTCTTGCGTCCAACATCGTACACAGTCACGTTCTATACTTGTCTGTGGTGGGAGTCTTAGTTCAACGTGGCGGTGCTCTCCCACGGTCGTTTCATACCATCGCTGTATAGTCAAACAGTCGTCTGCATGCAGAATGCCCAGTTTGAAGCGGTGTCGTTTATTTGGGCACAGGGTATCATGGTGCCGATCTGTATCCTCCAGCTGTTGAAATGAAAAGGTGAGTCCGTAGGCCTACTCAGTAAAAAGTGTGGGTCAGATTGGATCAAAGAGAAGCAATCTCACAATCCAGCAGCTCCAAACAAAATACCCCAATCCCATCTAAGAATAGCCTTGGTATGGTCCAATTCGATCCCATCTAGTGGCTTTTGTAATTTGTCCTCGTCCAATCAAAAACCGACAAAAGAGATTGAATCCAAAATGGAATCAAATGATAAAGGTTTTGGTGACCACGCGCTATGTAAATTTTCAATGTAGTTCGTTCCAATGCGACGTCACCACTCGATCATGGCGGCAGTGCCGCATCATCAAAGCTAGCCATTAAAATTAAAACGAAACCATCGGATTTTGAGCAATATGATCAATCATTTCCGATAAAGTGCACACCTATAAAACTGACATTCTTATCACATGTAAAGCAGCACAGCCACTACGTCGACTCAACCGCAGTATATGGGCCGGCTTCATCCAGATTAATGGCTTCGATTTAGTGATTTCAGTCTGACAAAATTCAGTTGACAACCACTACCCCAAGGCAGATCTTAGATCATGCAGTGCCATAAGGTCTCATCGCAACGATAAACGTTTCGGGAGTTGCGTTTGCATGAAGCCACGGCAGCAGACGAGGTCGGGGTTTCAGCCGGGAATGGCCCCATACGACTCCTCTTTTCGCAGCACCTATAAAGCTGATTGAACCCAAAATCTGCGCATTGGAAAACCCCTCTGATAAAAGGTTGCTCGTTGGCTATTGCCCTGTATTTACACAAAGAGTCACCAGAGCAAAATGATGTCAAGGACTGAAAATATTCGGCTTTTTTTTTAATGTAGCATAGAGGTTTTCTGACTGGAATGACACCACCGTTCTGCTCATAAATGTGAAAATTCACCTCAGTATAATAAAACTAGAAAGGCACCAAAAACATTTTAAATGACATGGAAAACATTGGAAACATTGTAAATTGGAGGCACAAAGATGAATTTTGAGAGGTTGTGTCGAAAATTTCACTCCATAGACCCCTTGTCCTCCCTGACTTGAATTGCACCTTCACCATCAAATAAGGGAAAGGCTGATGGGAACTTTTCAACTGAGTCTGTGTCTCTGATTTCCACACAAAGACTGGATAGTTCTCACTCCGTTTAAAATGCATTTCGACCAGTTCACCTCGGTCTTTCCAAGATTACCACCAGTATTTAGTTCACGGTACATTCCACTAAGTCGCTAGATCTCTGTGCGCGAGCTCATCAGTGCTTTGTGAACCAATGACTTATTTGCAATAAGGGGTACCATACTCGGACCAATCGAAGAGATATTTCAATAAATCATGCACTAGGGACTTGGGGCTTCGAAGTAAATTTATTTCGTTCATAAAAACCTCCAACTTGAGGGTAAATATATTTTTTGAATTTCCATTGAAAAAACGCATATCAAAATGGTTCCCAAGTGCCACCAGGGTCGCGATTTCTGTCCAACAGTTTTCTGTGGGCACGTCATAAGACTTCCTGTTGCCTTTTCCACGTTAATAAAATCTTAGTGGCTTTGTTGTTTAACAATGAGGATGTTTTAATAAAAGAATATTGAAATCTGCTTGCCCGTAAAACATTTTCAAAATTTTCCTTTGGCAAAATAGACCACACAAGGACTTCACTTGAAGTAGTCTTGGGTCCAAGACGCCTTTCGCGGTGCTGTGATTCGATAATATGCCTGTCGTGTGTGCAGTGGCGTACATCTTATGCGATACATTGCGACAGTGCCCTCTTTTTATACGTCCATCACTGGACGAATCGCTAGTGATGGTTCGTGTCGCCGATAGTGATTTGTCGTGTGCTTTGTGTTGCTGAATAAACTACAGGAAGTTCTCATAGCCAAGAGCAAACCTGCAGCCATTATGATGTGACAACAATCATCGGCCGTTTTCCAATACTCGACGTCGGCTCCGTCTCAGGCTTCAACTGATTTTTTTTACCTCTTGACTTCGAAGTTCTATTAAAGCGCAATAGTTTGAGGTCTAATAGTGCCACTAAACATCAAGTGAGATGCAAAAGAGCCAAACATTACAGGACTTCAATTTAATTTAAACGCTTCAGGCCTAGAATTGGGGATTGATTTCGTAGGCGAAGCCCGAGACGGAGACGAAGTTGAGTATTGAAAAAAGGCCACAGTGTGACGATCATTGATCTCCATATGGCTTGCAAAGTTAACATTAAATCCCGGAATGGAAATATCTCTATTCCCAATAGATATATTTCCATTAATTAAGAATAGACATATCTGAACATGCGTACTAAATGTCATCTTTACACGCCACATCTCCATTATAAAGGAGACCAGCATTCCTGCTGCAGCGCAAGCGACTCATACGCGCATGAATTCAAGTGTCGCGTCACATACGCGTTTGGCGCGGGAAGCGGTCAGTACGCGCAACCAATTCATGTTGAAAATGTATGGTCCTCGCATGTGCAGTAAACACACCACTGATCTCGATATGAAAGACTGGATAGAGGACTGAAAGCTGATGGGCAGAAATCAAGACCTATAGAGTACCGAAGTGTGACGTCACTGTGAACCAGAAAGTGCAGTGCAAACGAATAGAGTACGCGCGCGTGTTGGTTCACGCGCTGGTTCACGCACTAGATCCTAATTGTGCGCGTGACGTATTCACTTTGGTACTCTATAAACTTGCGCGTTAACGCGGCGAGTGTTCATGTAAGGACTGCCGGAAGGTAATGCGTTACAACGTGAGAGACATTTCACGGAATAGCTAGACATGTTGAAAAGGTGACTGAAGTATGGCTTTTGTCCTTATTTTGTAGGTCTTTAGTCAGATGCGCTAAAGATGGAGAGGATATCAAAAATGCTGTTACTGCTCTTCACAATGCAGTCGATAGCCTTCATTTTGTTCGTCATGAGTAAGTTAGAACTCAAAGTTGTCATTTTTGATTAAGGCAATTTTTAACGATTTCTAATTGTCCTTCATTGTGTCGCAGCTAGAGTTCAAAATTTTCAATCTCAGAAAATAGTTAAAAACAACTTTCTAGTTTCTATTATTAATTTGATTTTCAAACAATAATATAACTTACACTTATTTAGTGTAAGTACAAATATTATTGTATGAAAATCAAAATGAAACAGCTACCTTTCTCACAATTTGATCTGGGAAAAAAATGCATGTTTCTTTCCTTTTCCAGCTATTTACTCCAGCTCCGTGGTAACTTACGCGCCGTTGTCTAAGAAGGATTCCCGAACTTACAAACACATCAAAAATGAAATCAGAGCGGCTTACACACAATTGGACGTAAAGGTGGATGTTCTGGAAAGTAACCGGTCTGCCAACGGCATAGAGGTGGTGGTGTCTGCGCCGATCAGTCTTCGAGGGAGAATTACTAACTGCACTCTGGAAAACATCCAGAAGCGACCCGGGGTTGTGCTGCTCACCACGGTGAATGCCGCCTTCTTGGATGTGACCGTGAACATGCTGCTGTCCATACGACGGCTTCAACTGTGCGTCAATACTACCATCATCGCAGAAGACCGGGTGGTGTTCGAGTTCCTCCGAAGGAAATCAGAGGGCGACCCGGGGATTCACGTGGTGCTGACCGACACTGGCGAGGTGGACAGCAGGGCGATCCCGCGCAAGGACCGCCACGCGTACTACGGCTTCATGAACAAGCGCATGGGCTACACCCTGGGCTTGCTGGAGCGAGGCTGGGACGTTCTCTTCAGCGATGGAGACTTGTTTTGGTTTCGGGATCCCTTCCCTCATTTCCAGGGAGACTTTGATATGTGCCTGCGGGGATGGGACTATCCAGTCCGACTCCAGAAAACGGTCTTCTGCGCCGGCTTCATATACCTCCGGCCCACCAACGCCACACTGAAATTTGTCCGGACGTGGGTCGAGGTCATGAGGAGCAACAGGAGGAAAGGGAGAGTCGTTTCAGATCAGACGGTGATGAATGGGCTACTTCACCAGGACCAGCCCGTGCACGTGGACATCAAACCTTTGCATCCCAACTTATTCCCTTGGGGCTCCCAGTTCTTCGATCCCTCGTGGCAACAAGAAAACTACTCCACTGTCGTCATGCACGCCGCCAACATCCGCGGCCATGCCGCCAAGGAGAAGAAGTTCAAGGAATTTGGTTTGTGGCTGGTCAATGCTACAAGTGATGATCTTATCGCTTCAGACTGAAAAACCAGATTGTCTTGTATTATAGGTTACTATAGAGAGACGCTTTCATTTTCAGGGTAAAAGTGACAGTCCCACTATACGTTACGTATAGTGAGCAAAACTGTCTGTTTTGACAAGATATGGAATACTATGCAGGGTGATGACTCAGAGTGATAGGCTAGTCTTTCTCATTGAAATATCGTAATTTTCCAGCGAATCGTCAAGTCAATACTCGTTTATTATAAAAAAAGTACAGTTTTCAGGCTACAGGTCAAAGGAGCCATTTTGTAATACGAGCTTTGTTTCTTCTCTTGATGACTTCTGATTAGCATGCATCAGGGATAGGCCTAACTCCATAAAAGTAAGGACTCTCTCTCGATAACTGCAGGAAACCAATATTAGATGTAGTAAATGGACTTGCTTCAGGTATAAGTTATGTGATATGGTAAGGGTTTAGAATGCCTAAATACACGTGAAAATGAAAATGAGTGTTAAGTCGCCAGAGCCACTTTTTGAGTTTTCATTTGTACTGGAAAGAGCAAATTGAGTTTTTTGTTCTGATGTATTACTCAGTTTGGCATCCTTATGACAGTGGATACTCCATGGTGACAAAAGCTGTGGGTTCCTGTTGGTTTTCACTGTGCAAAATTATTCTAAAGGACTTTTTACTCCAAAGTGGCTCTGGCAACTTTAGACTCATTTTCACAGAGTGGGTCACAAATATTCAAAATGTTGTCAATCGTCAAATTTGAAATTAATATTGCGTAGGTGTAAACATTACTAGAAATGTACGTATACTTTAATGAGACCTTTTTATAAAAATTAATCTGAAGCTCAATGTAAACATTACATAGACCTATAGACAGAGCCCGAGAAGGTTCTTTTCAAGGTATTGATCAACTGGAATTCAACCCCAGTTTCATAACACCGTATTTTACCCAGTTGTAAATGTCTCCTTAGAGCTTAAGAAATTCTAAAAATACGTTTGTCGTTTTTAGGTCATATTTAAGTAAAATTCTGTTCATGAACAAGTTTCTCAATGAATTCTCCGTTGAGGAAATATACGATATGCGTTAAGTTTTTCCCCATTTGAATGAAGTTACTGGCTGTAGCCCCATGCTCTGTATGTATCCAATTTGCAGGTAATAACGATTTGGTTAAAGGATCCATACAATGAGTTTTTTCTTAAACCCACTTCTCGTGCATCTTGTCACCTTTCTTCACTGCATGAAAAATGTCTCAAATCCTTCATACGGTAAGTGTATTAAAAGGTGCTTATTTAAAAAAAAAAAACCACCTATACAAGCTCTTTCGGACAATTGGGGGCGCTGTTTTGCTGAGATGTAAATCCGAGAAGACACTGTTCCGTTTACATGGTCTTCTCAAACTTTTTTGAAACCCATATTTGCTTTTTGACATTTCCGAGGCAAAGTTGTTATTTCTATACTTCCAAAGAAAAGACAGTGAAGTATGAAAAAAGAGCAATTTGGGGTGTAACTTCGGGTGGTGGACAAATTTTAGAATTTCTCCATTTAATTGCACGCTTTGGAAAAGAGGGAAATTGAACAGGTGGCCAAATATTCCAGGACCCTACCCCCCCCCGAAGGATTTTTTCAACTTTTTTTAATTTTTGAAATTTTGTTTTCAAATGAGAATACTTCATAGGTGAGTTGGAAAGAAACTAATTTGTATACTTATTCATCAAATAAATAGGCTATATTTTTCTCCCCATTATCAAGTTGAATGAGCTCGAACGTGCATTTGCATTTTAATGTGCTCCCCCCACACCAAAATCTGGATATGTGCGCCACTGAAGTTTGGCTCCTGTTTCAACAAAGTGCAGACGCGTACATACGGAATCTTATAGGGGCTGTTTAAGTTTCCAGCATGCACAGCGGAGTAGCCAACTGGAGGCGGCGAGATATCACTGTGAAAAGGGAATGGCATGTGGCCCTTATACGCTTCCGTCAAATGTCCCTTTCACTAGACTGAAGGTCGTGAACCAGGAACTTCATTTTCCACGTATATGTCGAAGCATGACAGGCGTCAACAGTCGTTTCATATTTCAGTGTGCATTCAACTTCAAATTTCACTTGTCATTCCCATAGGGGCAGGACGTTTGAGCGACGGCAGCGTGTCCACCAGAAAGGCGCACCGTGAGTTGCTTTCAATATCTGGCGACTGATTTTGTTGTGATATCGCCGACACGACTGACTGATCTCGTGAAGTATGGTTGACCTCCCGAAAAAGCGGGGTTCTTTTGACTTAAATTTAATTTGTCATTTAACTTGTCATTCCCTTAGGGGGCAGGACGTTTGAGCGACAGCAGCGTGTCCACCAGAAAGGCGCACCCTGAGTTGCTTTCAATATCTGGCGACTGATTTTCTTGTGATATCGCCGACACGACTGACTGATCTCGTGAAGTATGGTTGACCTCCCGAAAAAGCGGGGTTCTTTTGACCTATCTCACTTTGCCCCCCTGCAGAACTCGGCTGTGCCAAGCTCGATTTTTTTTTAACTAAGGATGCATGTAAAACCGCTCCGTACTGTTACAAATTAATGTGACATTATATAGTTAATACTGTTTTATGAAGTTGAAGGCTACAAGACTCATGTACATGCGCGCCGCGCCGGCCCGTAAGCGTTGAGCAAAGTATACGTTTTAGGCTGACCTGTATCCGAAAAAAAGTGGGCCATGCGCAAGATCATTATTTCTGTTTTTCACAAAATTTGTATTAATATGACTGCAAACACTTCCCCCCACTTTTTAAAGTAGGGGATGTCATATCGTTTGTCTCCCCCTCCCCCACTTTTCTTCCGGTCCTTACATAAAATGTTGGGGGAATATGCCTTCATTTGATTCGTATGTCAGATCATCTTTTTATAAATACCATATGTTTCCTCTCTTGCTAAACGCTCTGTGCAAACCCCTCAAAGACAATGGCTTTCAAGATAGACCATGCGGCAGCGGCTGTGCTGGTGTCCATTATAGCGATCCAGGCCGTTCTCTTTCTGGCGGTGGTGGCAGCCCTGGCGGCCAAGTACTACAAGCTGAGTCTAGTGTTAAAGGGTTACAACGAGTTCATGCTGTTGGCTCGGATCAGGTCTCTGTACAAAGGTACTTCTCTTGCGGTTTACCTAGTCTTCATCCTTCATATTTACAGGCAAAAAAACCCCCCGAAAAATGCAAACGTTTGTCATTAAATCTGACGAGGAAGTCCCTAGAAAAGTAAAAACACACATCCATATCCTGTTAGGGACGGTCAACAATGATGAGTCGCAGCGATTCTCTTTAGTTGCTATTATTTTGCCATGAAACAGGAAACTCAGGAGTGCATGCATTAATGAGAGTTTAAACGATGTAGTGAGAGTCGGTTTTATTATGGGGATGAAGCCCTAAGCGTTGGTTGACTCGAATTATCTTTCCTTGTTTACAATCTTGGATTATACTCCCCATTTTCAACAAATTTTGCAATTCTTACCATGTTTTGTCATAATTGCTGTTGTGCACGACTTGTAATGGTTTTAAATTTCAATCCTTTATTTTAATCGGGTTGAAATGAATACATCTTTGGATGAAAGTTTTCTCTTCCTACTGGGGCTGAATCCTGGCATTTAGATTTAATGCTAAGCTGCAATAAGCTATGAACAGACCAGATTTAAGCTGTCCCACGAGAGACAGACGCCGACTCTTCCTTTGTAGGCGTGATGCTGGTGTATAGTATTTTATTGTACAACTTGGGTAATTCCATGAGCCCTGAAACTTATCACGCACAGGACCCACAAGCAGGCGCATGCATGGTGCCCAGACGGTGCCTGTTAGATAGCCCACGGCCTAAATGGGAAGAACCATAATAATGTAGAGGCCACTAAAGAAAGAAACTCAATTTCAGGGTTTTGCACGAAAGCTTTAAAGCCAAGCCAACAAGTTGGTTGGCACTTCCAGAACTCCGTATTATACATGCTACCCTGCAAAGGCTACGCGCCATGTACCAGTGCACAAAATGTGAATTTGGGGTTTCCGAGATACGTTATTATTAAATTCCGAGTTTCGGCGATACATTTTCGTCAAATTTCAAGTTTCATAATTATATACACATCCGCGTTTCCAAGAAACACTATCATTAAACTTTGTGTTTTTGACATACGTTACTGTTGATTTCAGGATATCCGTGATTCTAGTGAGACACGCTATCTCTGAATTCCTCAGTTTCACAGATACATTACCATTGAAATCGATGTTCCCACAAAACTTTATCGTTGAACTCTGCGTTTTGGGGGTAATTTATCTTTAAAATCAGTGTTATCCAGTACAGTGTATGTTTCTCTGTTTCTACAATAGAGCCTGAAAGTTGAGCTCTGAGGGCGCGCTTCCGGAACCCTTGAGTGGGAAAAATAACGAGCAAAGATTTTAGAATTTGTAGTACGTTTTCGTTCAGTTACTTCTTAAAAATCCAACTTGGAAAAGGGTTTTGGAAATTATTTGCTAGAAACTGAAAAATTACCTGTCCTGAAAGAGGAATATCCTGCCAAAAATTGACCCATCACTTCCGAAAATCTAAAATACTTGAAGAACAGAAAAGACCAATGCAGCGGTCTGGTACGTAGATGAACATTTATGGCATGAAATGTTATGGTGTTCTGTCGGTAAAAGCCGAAATTAAAACAGATAAAAATATTTTACAAACTGTTTTGATTGATAAGGTAATAAACTAAAAGTAATTATCTATTTTTATGAAAGACTCTGATATTTTATTTAACCTTTGCTGACAAAAACTGCGTTATGTCAAATCAATGGAACATGGAACCAATTGAGTACAGGTAGATAAATCTTTGCAAAGTTTTACAATTTTGATTTCACATAAGCACAGGAAGTGAAAATAAACGTGTATGAACAAGGAGGCCTTGGTACGATATCGCCGGATGTGAAAGGTCGTTGATGAAATTCGGTTTTTTTTACCCATCTCCTAGTGACTTTTCCAAACTATTAGTTGAGGAAGACAAAGGTAAAATTCCAACACGAGTGTTTCATGGAGTGGTTTCAGAAAGGAATTATTCTTCCAAAAATTATCAAACGTGATGGGACCGCCCAATATAAACCCCCAAAGGCGGACCGCGCGAGGGTTCCAGAAGCTTCCGTGGTTTTGCCTCTGGATTGACCGTTTGTCGTCGTACATGCCTCTTCGTGCACAAACACATTATGGGCATTGTGGGTAATTTGCATATTTGTTTTCCCCCTTATTCTGATCACGCTGTGCGAATACTACATAAAAGAAATTAACCATTTTCAGGTTGGATGCGACGATAATGCCTGTCGGGTAAAAGTCTGCCATGCTCCGTGAAAAAGGGCAGTAAAAAGATCAAGATCCCTCCCTCCTTTTCACTACACAGATTGAGGCTTCTAAAGTCTGTATTCCTTGCATCCTAGAGGATAAAAAGAAAGCGGATGCGGGCCGATCGGACAGACAGCTCAACCAGCCCCTCAGCTCAGCTTCGGGACACACTGAAACCTACACCGAACAACAACTCGATGCCACATCCATCTTCCTTGGCAACAAAGTCAGCATTGCTGCCGATGACGTACAGATTAAGTTCCATCAGCTGGAGATAGGGGAGGAACTTGGGAAGGGTGAGTATGACGGACATGGTTCAAGTGAACCAAAAAAGACCATGGAAATGGCATTCTGCGTGAGGATAATTATACAGAAAGCTAGCATGTTAAAGCCAATGCAGCATGTTTGCTGGAAATCAAAATTATTAAAAATTTTTGTGTTTGAATTTTTTGCGTCGTCATATCATCAAGAAGACCGAGATAGCCAAAAACTATACTACGATATAAGGGACTTGAACATAACTGCCTTACACTAAACACCTGTTAATATACGTCATTACTTGGATCACAGTGTGCCTCACGCATTCGTATATCACGGAGCAAGAATTTGGCTTAAGATTCGAGCTCTCCGAAAGACAAAAGCGCGGTAAGGCTGATAAATTTCAACGATTCCTTGAAAAGATCATTGTGTACACCTGCCATTTTTTTTAACCTAATCCCTATGAAGCTATTGAAATTACACAGGATATAGCTTGATTTTTCGCTCAACTTTCACTCACATGCGGGGCTTCTGAATTGCAAAAATCGTAATTCGTGGGCATTTGTCAGAGATAATTTCCCATATGCCGCTATTGGGGAGTCGGGTTGGCAAGGTAGTTCTGTCCTCGCTTTTCACCTCTGCGGTCCAGGTTCGATTCCCGGCTCGGTCCACATGTGGATTGGATTTTCAGTCCCTACCTGACTCCGTGGGTTTTACCCAGATATTTCCTATTTGGGGTTTTCCTCCCAACTGTAACTGCTTCTTACTGTCTCTTCTTTACAGGTGTGGGCGAATGTGGGTCGTTTGGCGGCTGCCAGAGGCGCCGTTGTATGCCATGTTTATATGTATTCATTGTGCCGTTAATGTCTTCACAGTACAGCGCATTTGAACATATGTACATTGTATATGAAATTTGCGCTTTATAAATAAATAAATTATTATTATTTATTTATTAATATTAACATTATTGTTCACATTAATATGGTGGGTTTCGGTAACTCCCTACGGGAGGACAATACCGCAAATTATGCGATATACGTGCAGCTAACAACAGCAGGCCTAGGAGCTAGCACTCCTCCACCTTCGCCCCAAAGAGCCGATGAGACTACCATCATGTACCATCAACTTCCCTTCCAACCCGTCCCACTATTCCAATTTTCTGATGATCCTTGCCCACCAGGCGCCTTTGGGAAAGTTTTCCAAGCAGCCCTCACCGATTGGCCCTCGGATGGAGAGCAAAACACAGTGGCAGTCAAAACAGTTGAAGGTATAGTAAGATATCCGCGTTGGAATTACATTGTGGAAATATAAGTTGCTTAGAATACTGATTGGTCGAGAAGCGGCAGACCAAAACACAGCCTACAAATTTTTCTCAGCCAATCGTCGTTCACAGTCGCCCAAGAAGGCAATCATTTGTAAAAAAAAAATTCTCAAGTGGCAAGGGCAACTTTCTTTCTCTGTTTCCAAACGTCGAGTCCTTCGACTTGAGAATGGGTTCGACTTGTTCCAATAATGGCTCTCCAGGTGAACATAGTTATATTTTTTACAATTGTTTACTCCGCTAAAATGTGTGGAAAGTATGTGAGAGATATTTTTGGTCTAACAGTGTTCCTTGTCAAAACATTTAATTTATTTATTCTTTTCCTGACAAATTTAGCTGTCATTTTATTCTAGGAAGACATCGTTCATTATGGTGAAGGGAATTTCTGTTCACATCGTGAACCAAAATGTGTACGTACTCACTTGAAAACATTCCAAGAAATGCTTGACCTCTGCGCCATTATATACTTTACATGTCCTGAAATGAAACAAAGAACCACTGCAGACTTGGGATCACAACACATAATGAAAAGATCCCCTTCGATCCATGTACAGATACTGATCCCTCAAAGGTCATCAAGTTCCTCAAGGAAGGATTACTGATGAAGAACTTCAGTCACCCCAACGTGCTGAAATTGCTTGGCCTAACCTTTGACCGGATGGGTCAGCCGCTGATTGTGCTTCCGTTTATGGCAAATGGTGACCTGAAATCCTTCGTGAAAATGAGAAAGCAGGTATCTATGAGCTTATTATTGCCAAAAAAATTTGTAGATAAAAAGTGCCGATTTTTGTCATGAGCTATACTTACTTTGAGTACCTTCATATTGACGCAGGAACTGACCCATACACAGCTGATGATGTTCGCTTACCACGTGGCCCTCGGTATGGAGTACCTTGCTGGACAAAAGTTCGTCCACAGGGATTTGGCTGCAAGAAACTGCCTGTAAGTGAAAAAAAGCTTTACAAAGATATACAATGGCAGATCAGATCTCGAAATCGAGAGAATTCGGCACATGCTCGCCCGATAACGTGTTTACATTTGGAATAAATAACAGCACACTTACAGGCTTTGCCCCCCAGTTATTAATTATCTTCAGTTACCTGACGCTGCAACATTATTATGTAAGCCTGCCACCAGAGAAATCCCGTGCCCTGGATGTTTTTGACAGAGTTCGATTTAAAGTTTTGCAATCAGTTGTGATGCTTTACATCAGTTCTGTATAGGAATAAACCTATCGGGAAAAAGGTGTACAAATATTTTACTGAAAAAACAAGCTTTATAGGGTTAATGCTTTGAATGGCCTTACTTTGTCCTATCAACGTAATTACGAGGAAACATATAGCTGTGACTTTTTCACTGTACTAGTAGAAGAATCGTTTTTCTCCTCATAGCGCAAGAATGGGCTGAATGGTAACGGACAACGGAGGTACCAACTAAGTGTCATCTGACTTGTTGAAATCCTGCCAGAAACATTTTATCTCTGGATGTCTTCACAGTTTGCCCATGAATGTATGGAAATTGCATTAGCATACAAACCCAAAAGGGCACCATGACGTTACTTTTAAAAATATCAAAACAAAATTTTTTAAACAAGGCTTATCGAAACACAATTTCAAGGATTGTTAAAAGAAACGTTGCATTGCATTCAGCGAGGCTTTCTTATGCACATATATGATGCATTTATCTACCAAAGGGTTGATGACGAATTTGTTACTAAGATTTCGGACTTTGGGCTGTCCCGTGACCTGGACGAATCAGACTACTACACCAGCGGCGAACAACAGGCAAAGTTACCTGTCAAGTGGATGGCGCCAGAGTCAATGGAACGCCTAGTCTATAGCACCAAGTCAGATGTGGTGGGTTTGTCTTGTGACAGTTTGACTGTCGTGTCTAAAATATCATTGGTACACCTCAGAGTTAGAAGAGGGGCAACCTAGTTTTGAGCTGAATTAGCCAACAGTTCAAGTTATTGGGTCCATTGTTGTCAAATTAACATTGACTAATTGTGACCCAAACTTTTCACACAATAAAAAGGATCTACCTTACCCCATGAATTTCTCTTTTTGCATCGTTTTAATCAAAATGAGGAAAGGAAAAAAATAATATGCATTATAAAGTCATGTAGGCTGTCATTGGAGATAAGCACATTCCACGTCCCTGTAAGAGCGGTGAAAGTTATCCTCTTCATTTCCGAGAAAGGGATATTGTTTGTACCATCGTTGTATGCACAAAAGGGACATTACCATACCGATCTTTTCGCAGTGCCAGTCAAGAGGACCAGTACACATATACATCAACGATCGTCGGCACTCATGTCCGTACCTAGGACCGCATGTCCTCGGTCTTACCTAGGACCATATGTCCTTGGTCTTAACCAGGACCATATGTCCTCAGTCTTACAGGCTGGACGTATTTTGCATATTCGTACTTACTGCAGTGGTCATACGGAGTGCTTCTGTGGGAGCTCTTCTCTAGAGGACAAACGCCCTATCCCGAAATCCAAAATAGGGATGTGTACTTATTCTTGAAGACGGGCAAGCGTATGGATCCCCCAAGATTCTGTCCCATCAAAATGTAAGTAGAACGGTGGATCGAGGGGAGGGGGGTTCAGGCCCGTCAGATTGTTTATCCGGTCGTTGAAGATAGTTGGATACCTTGGTAATGCGTTACGTGTTACTGCTACAAATAACAACCCTCAAAGGATGTAATCTTTTTATTGTAACTGTAACTGATTTAATTCGATTCGTTTCGATTCAATTTGATTCGATTGAAACCCCAAACTAAAAACCCTAAGCCCTCCAAAACCAAAACCAAACACCCCAAACCATAAAACCAAAACCCCAAACCAAAAGCCCTAAGCCCTCCAAAACCAAATACCCATACCCAAAATCCTAAGCCCTTCAAAACCAAAACCAACCCCCAAGACCAAAACCCCAAGTTCTCCAAAAACAGACCAAACACCCAAAACTATAAAACCCAAAACCAAAAACCAAGACCCAAAACTAAACCAATTAAACTAAACCAAAACTCCAAACAAAAGCAGAGACCTAAGACCTGACCTGGATTGAAGAACATACATAAACTGACCCGGCAAACATGAATGAAACGCAAAAAGAAGGAAAAAAATAACGGGAGCCTTCATTAAAACTTCTTCCACGTTGGTTTGTCCAGATCTGATATAATGCGGCGCTGCTGGCTTGAGTCCCCTAAGAAGCGACCATCCTTCCGACAAATAGCCGTAGAGCTGGAAAAAGTTGTCACGACAAGAAGGACCGATGCAGCGCCGCCGGCTGAGCCCAGGCGGGAATCCTGCTCGGTGGACATTCCAGAGTTACCTGTTCCGGGGTCGAAAAACAGCTCTCGCCTGGGGAACGAAGACCGAGGGGCGTCGGTGGAAAAGGAGGGGGGCAGCGAGCACATTGCAATGGAAATCATGACGACTGGCAAGGGGAACCAGTGACCACGGCGAGCCTGCGAATAAATATTGTCAAACTCCTTTGCTTTATATACACGTACAATGTCTCCTTGTTTAATACTATACTAATAGATTATCGTGTGATTTCATTCACATATAGGGCCTATACCGTTTGAATTCGCTATACCAACCTCTTATCCATTGAAGGCCCTTCATGGTAATAATCTGCTTTCTTTAGGATGACATCCATGTGAGGTCTCGTACATAGAATTACATGCATTTCTGAGGTGCCGTGCTACGACAACACACAACGCCTGATACTCCTTTGCACTTACTTAAGGCTCTCGATGAGAAGCCAGAGATCCTGCGGTAAAAGTTGCAGGTGAGGTGTAAACAATGACAGCCGTGGGTGCCATTAATTTTTGGTAAGATATACGGTCACCGTAAGAACAAATTGAATGGTATGGAATTCCTTTGGTGCCATTTTATGCGGCGCATGTGGGGCGGTGGCCTGGAGCTCCCCACACTTCCGCCTCTTGACGGCGCATTGTTCTGTCGTGCCGTCGCATTGTCGGTGGAAGTGTGGGGAGATCCAGGCCAAAATGCCCCACATGCACTGCATAAAGTGGCAGCAATGGAATTCCATAGAAAAGTCAATTTAACGGAATGTTATGGGAAACCGCTAACTCGTGCATTTTACGGGAAGTACCCGGTATCCCGAGAGGGCATTGTACATAATCTAATACGCAGTTAACTGTTGAACACAATGTCTTAATATGACTATAGAACTGTGGTAGTATGGCTTTTTAAATTAAAGAAATAATCAAGCGAGCTTGTCGAGGATTTGATTATGATTATAACTTCATATCCCTAACAGGGCTAAATTTCAGTATAATCCTAGATAGTTAGGTTTAGCACGATGATTTATATACTCACGTCATACGGGGTAAAAGAATAAAACGCAATACTACAATAAATGGTAAGATAATGTTCGCCAAATTAATGTCTCCGTACATGTCTTCATGACCTTTTTGAAAACTCCCTTATTACAGTCTCTTTAAATGGATAAATTTGTGTATACAGAACAACAGAAAAGGCGTCAATAAATAATCTTTGTACACGCATGTAGGCCTATTCGATTAATTATTCATTTATTTACTTCATCTGCTTAGAGCGTGCATGTGTACATAATGTACATGTAGATGCATGCAGTTTTCTTTGTAAATGAAGTCACCGAGGATGTCCGCGTAGAAGTAAATTTTGATCGATTTGCTTTGATTGGAATCTTGACAGAGAGGCCCGTTCTGAGTAAAAAAGCATCAAGATGAATTCAGACAAAGACAATCCCAAATCTCCACAAAAGAACGAATGCGGTATTTTTTTTTAAAGTAAGGTGTGCTCTTCCTTAAAATCTGATGTATGTTACGATAATTGGCGTCCATATCATCCTGTCAAAACCAGGGGAGTAATTTGTCTGCCCGCGTTGAGGATGTTCAAGTGGCGGTCAGAATGGGCTTGATTAGATTGTCAGCGTCACAAAGATGCCATCATCTCCGCTGCTAAAATTGGGAACTCTTTCAAGGAACTGGGGGGCAATATTGAATTCCCCGGGGGGAAAACCCTTTTACCGCAAGGAAGACACCTTAATTATGGCCCTTTTTGGAATGAGATTGTAACTTGATTGATACCATGCTCGATGCTACAAAAATTTAGCTCCGGTCGCTCAAATTTCCATCAAGTTGCCTTGGCTATTTGAAATAATAACAAGCAAACAGTCAAAGACCTGCCAGGTCATTAAGGTTTTGGGAAAAGTAAGCGAACTTAATAGTTTGTCAAATTCTCTGACGCGAAGGGAAATAAATGAAACAACATTATGAGAACCACGAGAGGTAAAAGTATAATGCTGTTGACATTTTGCCAAGTCGACAGTTACATCTTGAAGCCATAAACTGAGTGGTCAAACAGGGACAGCAATAAACAATTTGATAGAATCCACATTCTTCCCAAACTATTTTTTTTCAAGAACCATCAAAATTTGGAACAATCTTCATCAGACCTTCAATGACTCGCCCCCACCATGGAGGTCTTTTCGTACCTCTGTGCCCCCACCAATCGTTTTCAGTAACAACTACAGACAATTACATGTACAGTGTGATAAACCCCTAAAATCAAGTTTGTTTCCACTCCCGAAGGCCTCCTCATCTCCTGGTGGGGAAATCATACCGAGTACGAAGTTGCCAACTTAGGTGTTGTCAGAACCTTGATGGCATTAGTTTGCTTTCACAAGCAGGAAAAAAGCACGAACAAACTCCTGCATAAATTGCTGCACATTTTTGGCTGTTTTTCCTCACCGATTGTCTCTCTCTCTTTTTTTCCCCATGACCAACGTTTGGACAGGACCAAACATTCAGCTGGACTACTTCGCACACTGTCGTTTTGGGTTTTCAGAGCGCGTCATTCCAAAGCAGTTGACGATTGGTTTCAGCGCCCTCTGTTGTGTTCTTTTTTACGCGCCCTGTTCCGGCGGCGCGGCGCGCGGTCAGAATGTCGATCGATCGCGATCATATCAATGAGTGGGTATAACGTGCATACACCGTACGTATATATACGTACATTTACAATGTACATTATGTGTACGTAGCGTATGCGTGCCAAGGTGAAAAATATTAATTCTTGGCTGGAACAAATGACAGAAAATCCCTCGCAATCAACGAGCACTTGCTGCAGAGATCAACATGTGTGTAGATCCAACTTGGCTGCTGCTGCATCTTCAGATGGATCTCCAAGGATAAGGAGACAGTACGCCTGAGCAACAAATTGGCGAAATGGTAGCGTGCTTGGCCTTCGCTGAACAGAAAAAGTTGCACTTGATCACACTTTACAGTAGCGGACCGAGTTCTCGTGGTAGGGCTGGGCGGGGAGATCGGGCCGTTGACCGGTAGGGCGGAGTGGGCTGCGTCTCGCTCTCGCCCATGGCATGGCGCGGAATGGGGACGACTTGATGACCAGCTGCAAGCGCGATGCCAAGCTGGAGAACTTCCTCAAGCAGAAGTTGAGCGAGAGCGTGTTCGAGAGGATCCGGGCCTACGAGGCCTGTATCGCTCAGTCCAAGAAGGTGAAGCGGAACTTCAAGTTCGCGGTGTTGACGGACGAGAGGATTTACATCACCGATAACCCGCCCAAGTTCATCCGGGAGGAGGAATCGGTCCACCTGGGCGATGTGACATCCATTCAGCTGGTAAGTTGCTGTTGAAGTGTGGCCTTTACAGAACTGCTTGTTAGTGAGTTGATAGGGAAAAAGGGAAGACATGGAAGAAGACATGGCATAGGCCTACCGCGTAGTCTACTGCTTCATTTTTGTGATATTTTTCTAAATTTTCATTTTTTAAGAAGGCATTCACCAGTACAAAATTAGGCCGACCCTATTATGCCTGTTATGCCGTTGCAGCCCCAAGACTGCAAGAGTATTTTTATTTTAGGTTTAGGAATATTGGGCCTAAATGTACCAGTATGTAATGTAGTTGCAACCTCCATGTCATGACATGTACATGTAGGCTTGCCTAAATTTGCCTAACTTGTGGGAAAGACTTCCATATTATAATATGAACATGTCACTAACTTTTCACTGTGGTTACATAATTAGCCATCTGAAAGCAATAAAATGCCCTAACATATTGAAGTCTCGGTATTTACATTACACAACTTTTCTGACCAGTCATCCAATCACTGGGTTTGTGCACAGGGTGTGCACATGGAATTGGCGTCTGTATGGAATTCTTTCTAAATTGTGGTTATGGTAGCAGAGATTCTCTCGACAAACATGAAGATTTTGGCCTTTAGGTTGAACCATTTTCCAGAGTGTTTGCTTAGACTGATTGGTAAATGCAAGCTCTTTTTAAATCCGGTTTTTTTAAATCGGCCAATATCATTCAAACTGCGTAAATTTCTCCGTTGACTAGATGTACATGTACTAGTACATGTTTACATGCATGTAAGATTTGCTAGAAAGATGGTTTCCCTTCTCTTGAAAAAACTTTGTTGATATAATACTTATGCTTTGTACAATCTTCAATTTTACAGATGAGTTTGTGCACCTCGGACTCATAAAAGGCGACAGGAAAGTGTTTTCTCTGTCTCATGTCAGTTTGAAGCTGCATAAATTCACATTTTCCTCGGATTGACTCTGAAAAAAAGTTGAAACTGTATACACAAGGATCTGAGTTGCAACAACCTTACTGGTATTCATCTCGTTATTATTCTTCAAGTTATTTTATGGCAGGCCTTCACGACAAAAATGTATCATAGGCTACTTGTGTTGGCTAGGAGGGCTTTCTGCAATTCGACACGCGTACATACAGTATACGGGTAGTTAAATACCCCTAAATCAGCCGATCTTGTAAAAGTATGGCCAAAAAACAATAGTGTAATCACACTTTAATGCAGTGCACACCCAGGATTGTATGTTTTTGATGCCTTTGTTTGTGTTGACCTTTTTATCACTAAATACATGTGCATGTACCTGTACATTGACATTATAACACAAAGTTCAAGTAACTGTGGTTTGCTGTCAAGTGTGCTGTCAAGCAATGCTTTTTGTCATTGATGTCATTTTGCCATTGCATCCATTTGGCTTAATGGTATTTAGTGGTATATAATAGTACATGGGTGTGTGTACAGGTACGTGTATTGGGCACACATGCTTTTCTTATACCGGTAGGCGTATGTACATGTATTTAAAATCAAACCCTCAGTACAGTTAAAAATGGGGACTAAAATTAGATGTACATGTAAGATTTGCTGCCCACATTTGGCTCAATGGAAAATGAATGCTTTTTTTAAATTTAATTTAGGTAAAAAGAGATTGTAATTTAATGTTTTGTTTTCTTGTTTGGAGGGACCCACAACCATTTCCAGCCATCATTTCCGTCCGTCCCGTTTATCTTATGGACATTTTTTTCTTTCTAAGCTAAACACGTACATGTAGCAGTACACGTACATGTATGTGCATGTACACAGTAACATACCTCTCTGTACAATGTACTGTATATAAATATCGTGAAATATCAAACAATTCCTGCTCAACAGAACTGGTCAAGGGCGTTGAGTAAACCACTTGTTCATGCTGTAGTGTCACAGCAACACACATGGCATTGTGCTTGAAAAAAGTCACTTCACAATTCATTTCCTTTGCTGACAGAGACGGCTTGCGTGCGTGCTGGTCTTTTGTATTGTGTGCCGTGCGGCCATGCGGGGAGAGACGATCTGGCATACGTTGATAGAGTGGCAGGCAGCAATTGATTGTGTACTGTTGCCATGGTGACAAGCTTCCGGGAATGCCTCACTCCAACAATGCAGTCCCAGTGCATGCATGCCACGTTGCCTGTTGCATGGCTGTTTTACGCGGTGTACTCAAGACAGTGTGTACATGTACATTGAGCTCTTGTGTAGCTTGCATGAGTTGTACTGTTAGTCACTGTCTTTTTGTGACATGTGTACATGTACAGGCACATGTAGTTTGTGAGCTTTTACAAAGTATGTTGTACCATACTTAGTACATGTACATGTACAGTACCTGTACTTGTATACATTTACTATGAACATGTACGTGCATGTGGACTCTGGTACATGTACATGTACATGAACCACACATGTACTAGCTGTTTGCCAAAAACTCCATTTATCAATGCTCATAAATTGATAGCTCATTTCCCATAGTCCTGGTAAATTACCGGTACCTTTAAATAATTAGTTGCACTTTTCCAGTTCATTTTGGGTCCATGGAATTCGTTTACGTGTAAATCTCAAGGACAAATTTATTTAATACATCTTTATCTTAAAAAATCTAATCACATTCCTATTGAGCCTTGCATACCTCTATGCCAGATTGAAAACTATTAGCAAGGTTTTTCTTCTGGAGACGGTTCAATCAGTTCATTTTCTGCATGTGATTTCTTCTGCAGTGTTGAAATCTTGAACAGTGCATATACCGCTACAGTATATGTGCATGTATGCAATATGTATTGAAGTTACTGGTATTAAGAATTGTACTACATGTAGTTCGGTGGTGCAGACCTGTACCTGTTAGTACATGTATGCAGCTTAGTGAACAAGATTTTATGAAATTTGAATTCAGTTAACTTGCAAAAGGCTTATCGAATATTGACATACATGTACATGTATCCATGAACAGATGAGTGAACACATTCACAAGCAAACTTGCAAAGGTTTTTACTCATGGTCTCCCAGCTGTGAACTTTTAACGACAAAACTAAATTTATAGCGATTGCTTCCAACAAACCTCCTCAGTTATTATTAGCCTGGTGTTTGTCTGCATACAAATCAGTCACCCTATCAGGCCATTGTTTGTGATAGGTGTAGGTAGTGTGTACATTGACCACCAGCAATAACAACATGTTGCTATGATTTTAAGGACAATGCATCTTGTAACACAATGGGCCCTCTGAAGTACCTACCTACATGTACCTGTAGGCCACCACCACACCAAGTTGCTTACAAATTGCCACTTTGTTGTGACCTGTTGAGGATATTACATGTATGTACTCCTCCAAGTGCATACATTGTACATATACCTGTACCGATACTTGTACAAGTGCATGTACGGTACATGTACTGTATATAGTGTGGGTGTACAATATACCGGGTACAGCAACATACTGTACATGTACATTAATGAGATAACCAGTTCATAGTCGGTGAAATGATCTGCATCAGGTGCATGTACAGTACACACCTGTAGGCATGGTAGTACAACATACCCCGTGTACAAGTTTCGTTAGTGGACTTGACTCCAGTCACAATGTTATATAAATGACTTGACTTGAATCATAAAAATATGTGGGATGTATTTATGTACAGTATTCTTTGTTCCACCCAAGCTCATGGAGTACCGAGCCATGGTTATTATAATGAAAGTAGGCCTACCAGTCCATGTACTGTACATGCTACAATACAAATTTACTTGTAACATGCAGTCTGAGACATACTTACATGTATGGCCCCTACATGAACTTTATGCAGGGATGAACAAGGGATGGCAATCGTGGCACGTTTTTACAAAGCATTGTAGTCTGTTTGGTACTGGTAGGGACACATACCAAAACAAGTGTTGGCAGAGCCCTAGATACATGTATAGACTTGGCACTGACTGTGCAACCAGTTTCCGTTGGAATGTACAGGTGTGTGATCTTTGCTTGAGTCAGGTACTAGTCCCTGTTGAACTTCCAGTAGTGAGAACTACATACATGTACAGTACATATACATGTATATAAACCCCAGAACTGTGGGTTTGACATTCGTCCCGCTCCTAGGAAGGGGGCGGACGTCAGACTCCACAGTTCTAGGGGTACCCTATTATTATTTTATTATTATTTTTATTTATTTATTCGGTATCAAGAACAATAGTTAAAGACGAGGACAAAACGGTGCCTGCAGTAGATGCCAGGAGAAGAAAAAGTCAACTGAATGACTGTAGCCCACAGGCCGCCTCCTACACAGAGCGGCGATTTGTACAAATGTATCATGGCATACCAGAGAAAGACCACACACAACCTGTGAACAAGGGCTACCGGTACATATGCATACAACTCCGTAATTTGAATCCATTTGTGCCCCAAAAGGCACCATGGCATGTAGCACTAGTACAATGTACACATACAATGTACATGTACATGTACTATGTACATGTATGTACATGTACTTACATGTAGGACAAGTGTTTTGCAGTTCAGGTCAGACTATATGAAAAGCACAACCTGTTGATCTTCAGAGCAAAGGCATAGAAGATGTTGCTGGTTCTGGATGTTTTCTTTATGTGTCATTAATGAGGTCACATTATCCATGTTTCACAGTCAACCGCACTGACGCCCCATATTAGGTCCGACACCTCATTGGTCCGACGCCAGATTTATGAGGCGTCAGACCTTTGAAGCGTCGGAACTATGACGCTGAAAAAAAAATTGCCCATAAATCTGACGCCTCATTATTCCGATGCCTCATAAGTCCGAAAATTCGGACTTTTAATACGGACTTTTGAGGCGCCAGACCTATGAGGCGTCAGACTTATAATATGCACCCTGTAGGTACTGGTACATGTACATATACCTCCCGTAGGAATTTGCAAATGATACATGTAAAATGTACACCGGTCTGTCCACTATTTGCATGACACTCAATACAAATTTCCAGCTGTAAAATTTTGCAATTATTTTTTGCTTATGTACATGTCTTCACTCTTTCTGATTACTACCATAGCAAGGTAAATTGAGCAGTATTGAAGAAGTTGCAGAAGTTTATTCTTGAAGATATACATGTAACATTTGTCACATGGACAGACAGTTTGTTTCTTAAATATGAAAATTAAATTCAAAACACAATTGATGGTCTGCAAAGTAGTTTAGATACTCTTTTTACCTGTAGTTTACTTTTAGAAATTTTCATTATCCCAGAAACACATTTCCAGTGTAGATAACATTGAAATTTATTTTTAGAAAAAAAAATATACATATATAACATTGGTCACTGGACAGACATCACGTTTGTCACATGGATAATGTATGTCACATGGACAGACATTTTTCTGGTGCTTGAATTACAGCATGAAAACAGAATTGTTCACTAACCAAACTTGTTTGTTTTCAGTTTCCAAAATCATTTTTGTTAAAAAGACTATTAAACTTCAGCAAAAATTAACACTATTGTGTACATGTACATGTACATTACACAGGGTTTTCTTAATGAGTAATGTTTGTTACGATACATGGACAGATGTAACGTTTTTCCATATCATAATCTGGGACAGACAGTCTTCTCACTTTCATTTCAGCTTAATGAACCAATCTTTTTAAAGAATTCATTATTTGATTTAATTTGGTTTTGTAATAAATCTCTATGAGGTAAGTCTTTCTAAGATTTTTACATTTAGAAGGAAAAACTAGTCATGACAACGTTACAAAGTAGTAGACAAACATTTGCAATTCCTAAAATCAAATCTTAGTTGTGTCATCTGATAAAGAAAAACCACATGAAGTAAATGTAAACTATTACTCTAAAAAGGAAGGTGTTTTTGTCGAAGTTCCATGTATCTGCCCAAGGAATGGCAAAATGTGTCTGTTTCATGTTTATCACTCTGTAGACAGACACCGTGATGCACATGTACCCAATTCCTAATAGATAGCTCTCCTTAAATTCATGTTAAATTAGATAACCTAAACATATAAAAGCCACAGATTTTGGCCTGGTCTCAGTGATGTCACACTACTTTTCCTATGACGATGAGGTGGCTTGAGTCCAGTATTCCTTTACATTAAAAGTATTGCACTTGACCCTGCATAGCTTTCTAAAATTTAGCCAAAACATTCACACATGCTTGCTTAACTGCCTTATAATTATTTCTGACAACTTTCTCAATCTCATGTACATGTACATACATACAGTACATGCTGGTATATGTTTTACATCAAGCCGCCTTTTTGCATCCAGTCAGATACAACTGATCAATACATTTTCCATGCAGTGAGTCTTATGTAATTTTCTTTTGCTGTCTGCACTGCATCAATTGAACAGTCACACTGGACGTACTGTGTACATGTACATGTATACCCAGTACAGTACTTGTACTGGTACATGTACATGTACTTGTTTCTCATTCCTGGCTGTGGTGCATGTTTAGTTGGAGAAGATTAGGGCAATTTGCCTCACTTTAAAGTGTCCTTTTGTGTACGTACCTGCGTGTACAGCATACAGGGTACATCTTGCTTTTCTCATGGATTAACTTCATTATTACAAACTAAAGATTAGGGTGAGGAGATTGTAGTTTTCCTTGAAGGGCATTCAGTCTCTTGAATTATCAGCAATAAACTCCTCCAACAAGTCCTCCATTGATGATTGAAAGGAGAAATGGGCCAGATATTCAGTGCATCCAGTTACATGCAAATTTCCCTGTTACATGTAGCTCCTGTGCTGTCATTAATTAGGTTCTGTTGGTTACATTTGATGTACATGTACTCTACATGTATATTCTCAACGTATACATTTATGTGTATACCAGTGATCTAGCCACGGTGAGTGGTGCCAGGTGGCACCATCCAGTACCAGCCAGCACCATCCAGTACCAGCCAGCTGTGCGGCCCATTACGGATTCTCCAAAAAATGAACTGAAATATTACTGAAAATGGACGAATTTGATGGTACATGTATTTCAAGCATCAGAAAGCAATGAGAATGTCTAGCTACCGGTAGCATTGTTACGAGACCTCGATGTGAAAGACAGAAAGGATGTGGACAAAAAGAAAAAGGGTGTGAAAAAGGGGGAAATTAGTCTTAAAAACCCAATATATCTGTACAGTATATTCCTGTGTTGTGTACATTTGTATATTTTTAAAGAAATTTGAATAAAGAACAAACTTTTAAGTCCACACCTTTCATCCTACGGTACAGGTACATGTATACACAGGAGTAATGAAATTGTAACAAACATAATTGGAGAAAGAAGTAGTTTTGAGTAATTTATTGTGATTATAAGGGGAAATCGTAGTGCCTGTATCTGTATAACTCAGTTCCCCCCCTCAAAAAAGCTATCACCAATGTTAATCAAGAGCAGAATACCAAGGTACATGTACATTCCTGAAGTAGGACTTGTTAACCTGTTACACCTCAACCATACATGCACATTTCCCCAAGCTGACTCAGATCAGGTATCTGTCAGTAGTATTCCCATCCCTGTGGTGCAGAAAGCTCTTATAAATAACATATAAGTCAGGACACTGGGATGCCTGTAGGGTGGATGTCAAGCTGTACTGTACATGTACACGTGTGTATGGCTTTGCCTTGTGTACTGTGGAAGCTGATTGTGCAGTTGAGCAGCACTGTGAGCTTGTTGAGTGAGGAGACTGTGTCAATTATTCAGGGAGGGTTCAGAATAGAGCAGCAACTAGCCCTTCAAGGGAGTACAATGCACTGTAGGCATACTACCGTACACTGTACATGTACATGTAAGCTGTACATGTACACTGTACATGTATGGTACATTCCTTGCCAGCCCCTGTTGGGTTTGGACATGCAGTGCCGTGCCCCTGGACACCTTGTTTTTATGAACATTGAAGCGTGAGAATTGAGTTTGTGCTATCAGTTGTATTGATGAGCGTGTATCTGAAATAAAGTTCTTGAAATACATATACCATGTACATGTAGGTTGTGTAGGGATTTATGGTACATATATCCACATGTGCAGTATGAAAAGATATGAAAAAAAAATTCCTCATTCCATAGCAAGGACTAAACTTACCGGTAAGCCACATGTACCCAAACATGTACATGTACTTAATTCCATTTTTGATTCCAGTGATCTTCCAGACATCAGGCATGTGATATTGAACCATGCTACAGTACATGTAATCTGTCTGAAATCTAAATCAACCTCCCTTTGTTGTTGCAAATACCCTACTGGTACGTACCCGGTACACAGTTGGGGTAAAATGTTTACAAACGTTCATGTGGTAGAACAAAAACAGTTTTCCTCAAATTTCACAGCTTCACTCACTCCTTCCAACAGACAAGACGGGTGTCTACTTAATGTATACGGTGTATGCATCAAATACATGTAACAACACCCAGAGACGTATATGATTCTCATAATTTTCAAAAGAATCTAAGTTTTAACCTACCAGTACTCCAACCCTAATATTTGGTGCCCACTTCCTGTATTTTTGGTCACATCTCACAGTCACAGTGGACCACTTTCTGAAGTGTTTTTGAACCACAATAAGGGGTATATGTACATTATTCACAAAATAGTTTTTCAGAAATATTAATATTTTTGTCCGCGGCAAATGTCTCTGAGTATTTTCAGTTGAAGTACACACCGTGAACGTTAAGTTCAGATACAATTTGCCGGACCTCATAAAAAAAAGTTGGCAAAACTCATATTTCAAACTGCAAAAAATTGAGGAAAACTGTTTTCTACCTCTGCCCCCCCTGTACATGTACATTGATCTGCTGCCAATCATTATTATTGATGAAAGTATAACCTACTGGCGGTAGAGTACATGTACCGATATGAACTGGCAGGTGTACTGCGTACACCTGAATGTTATTGTGGTCAACGTGAATGTTATTGTGGTCAACGGGCTAATTGCTGCTTACTGCTACAGTGTACTTACTAAGCCAACAATTTAGCAAACAATATCAGACTGTAGTCAGATTAAATGTTCATCCAGCCTTGGATCAAAGATGAGAACTGTAATTAGGCTGCGTGTCAGTCCCAGGCTGTACTGGGATTTCATTAATCGGCCAATTTACCCGTTAGTACTTTATTGAATTGACATGGGATGAATTAAATCAACGAAGGATTTTGGCATCACAGTTCATTTGAGTACAAGTACCAGTGCATGTAGCTTGATAACTCAACTTAATTGTGTGGGGCCTGGGCTTGTGACTTGTGATTGCCTTAAATTCTGTTGACTTGTGATACCTTGAATGTGGCTAACGACCTCTCTCTCCCAACTCTCCATGATTAAGGTTTTATGCACACCTGTTGTGTTGTGTTCAGTCTGCAGTTGTGTGGGATGCAGCGGCTTACAGAATATAACGGTACATTATACAGTATTGTGTACATGTGCATGTACCATAAGGAGGATTTAGTTGTTTTGTGCATCTCAAGTGTGCACATTAGTTGCCATATTAGCAGTCATTGTGTTCTTACATGTATAAAGATAAAGTGTTGATGTTGAATTGCATCACTTGCGCTCAACGTCAGTAGTTGGAAGTGGTTAGTTGTATTCACAAACAAATTACCAAACTCAAATTCCTCATCTTTCTCCTTTCACAGCTACCCTTCCAGTTTGCTGCAAGCTGGTACTGTATTTTGTGACAGCTGTAATAAAAATTCCAAAGATGGCAGAGTCTGCAGATACAGACAGGGTGTGGGGAGAGAGGAAGGAATGAGTAGAAAAAAACAACAACCTAGAAATAGGTTTTGTGTTGATTTACATTCATATGGTTATGGTAATGAAAGGAAATGAAATTACCGGTACTTAAAAATAATTTCATTTCCTGTCACTTTCTGTATACAAATTTTTTTTCATATTTGTAGCATTGTGTTTTTCTGCTAAAAATTTCTTTTTCTGGTATGTTTATGATTTTTCCTTCAAGGTGAATGAATTTCCTGATTTTCTCAGTGGTGATGATAGGGAGAACTCCCAACACATCTCGGTCAAATACAGAACTGTCGTGCCAGTCACTCGTAGCAAGAGGAACCTGCGTGATCTGTTGAAGCAAGATAAGAAGAATGGAGCTGATGGAGACCTCTCCAGGAGCAGCCCAGGAAGCGGGACCAGCTCGCCGAGCCTCCGGCTGACCACCCCGAAGGGTGAAGTAGGCGACCTAGAAGAAATGGCCCCCCGCCGAGCCAACGGGAAGATGCAGTCCAATGGGAAGGGGGCTGGTCTCCGGTTGAACCACAGCTTTGACGAGTCAGACCTGCGAGTGCTGCGCCAGATGATGGACAGTGACGGGGAAGAATCGGAGCCGGATCGGCTGTCACTGTCGCTGCCAGCAACTGAATTGAGGAACCTGTCCGTGGGGAGCGATGGCTCTCTGGGCAGCCTGGACCGATTGGAGAAATCCTCCTCGGCCTCCTCCCTCAACAAAGCCGGGGCTGTGGAGACCTGCCGGCCCCTTCCGTTGAGGCCTGCAACCAACCCAGGGGAAGCCCTCCGAAGCATTGACACCCCGGATACTCTCAGCACAGATTTGGCGACAACTCTGGCCCTGCCCGATCAAAGCTCGCGTACACAGAAGGGCAGCGCAACAGCCCACCGGACTCTCCCCTCACCCGATGCAACGGCCCGCATGAAATCAGAACCATTTCAGTTCCCTTCCTCCAAGAAGGCCAATGGGAAAGTGAGCGGGGTCAAAGAATCGGTTGTGAAGGATGCCAACGGTAACACAACAGAGCGGCACAAGTTTATGAAATCCAAGAGCCTTGACTCAAGCTCCTCCAGGAGCAACAGCAGCTTTGGGGAAGACGGGGAGCAGGAAGAACTGAGGAAAGAGGAGGTCATAGAAGAGCTGCATGTCTACTTGCTCTCCCTCTCCTCGCCTTTCTTGATGCATCTCAGAAGCTCTTGGAACAACTACATTGTTGTAAGTGACACTTTTCTTGCAGTGCTCCTTTTTACCTGCAAAGCATCATTACTTTCATACATGTATAGTTCAACACAGATTTGAACTTGCATGTTGGAGAAGACAGAAATTGTAATTTTCTTTAAATTACACTTACGTGTATTAAATTAATACATTTGCTTTTATTTAGTAAAGCCATTTGATTTTATGCAATGTATACTATGAGCATGTGTCTGCCAGCAACATCCAGAACACGGGTTCGGCCTACAGTTCATGTACCTGTATATGTAGAAAAAGTTTATGTTATTATTAAATTACTTTTTGAGATAAACTTTGTGACATACTGGGGGCAGTGTTTTACAAAGGTCCAGCTGTTCCTCAGATCAGCAGATTTTGTTGGTGTGTACTTCCGAAAGCCTTGTTGGGTGTATAAATTTCCATATTTTGCAGACTTACATGTACATACAGGTACCCGGTATGTACTGGTACCAGCTGGAGCCTGATTTTAGAAATTGCAAAGAAGCAATCCTGGGAAAAAGTCTTCTGAAAGTGAAGGAAATGACGAGGAGTGGTCCTTTTCCAAAATTAATATCCACACGGTATTGTACAGGTACATGATCATTTTTGTTGAAGACGCAGTGTATCAGGCAGTGGTAGGATGAAGACGGGGGTGTACCACATGACACCGTCTGGGCTTTCGAAAACAGTAATTTTCCCGTTTTCTCACAGCGATCCACTTTACTGAAGGATCCCAAATTGGCTAGTCGCATGGGAACAGGCAAGAGTGGCAGCAAGCATCGCCTTCCGTCCAGGTACGTACTGGTACTGAACTAATCCTAAGAAGGATAGATTAACCCTAACCACCCAATGGTTGCTGGACCTAACCTTCCCCAGTCACACAAACTTCAACACCTTGGAAAAAAACTCTTATCCCACAGTACCAAATCCCACAAACTTCAACAGTACAATATACCTCCTGCTGCAACAGTACCCAATCACACAAACTTCAACGGGTCTTTACCTGTGATTTTGTTTGATTGGGTACAGCAGGCCCATTGCACAGTACAAAAAAAGTATGGACAGGCAGTACCTATTCAAACAAACTCACACACCATCATGCTGCATATCCATCCCCAACAGCTGGGATAAAGTGAGAGGGCCACAGTACCCATTCAGTCTAAATTCAACAGGGTATGTGCAGGCCCACAGTACCCATTCACACTAAATGAAACAGTACTCAATGCCACAAACTCAGACACTACTGGTGTTGAATTCTGTGTGGTTAGGGAAGGTTATGGTTAAGGGGGAGAATCTAAGATATATATGTAGGTGCCCTTTTCATAAATCTTGTGCTGTACACGTGTACAACAGATGTTGAAAACTTTACATGAGGATGCGTGCATACGTAGGAGGCATCAATGCTTCACACAGTGTCATGTGCAGAGATTAAGCCCTTTGCTCTTAGTCCTTAGAAATTCAAGCTTATGTGGTGCTTATGATGTCATTCCTCACACCCACAGAATTCGATGTGTGGAGAAAATGGAGGTCAGTGATACCGTACCAAATCCGCAGTTTGAGCTTGAACAGGTTTAGCGTATGCGTTGGCATGTGGTCTTGGCGATAGCGCCAACCTTATGCATTCTGGTACACGTACTGTATATTGACCCAAATCATGTACATACAGTATACATGTACATCATACTTCATTATGTTGGAATACTGAACTGCAGTAAAACAGCATTTTGTCATTGGGTTATTTGGCAGCGTGAACAATCAGCTTTACCCAAGGTCTTCTCTTTTTTTTTACGTCCCAAATTGTGACCTATGGATCTAATTCCAAGTGACAACCCATTAGACAGATACATGTACATTCAAAAATTTGAAATTTACATGTGAAGGCAAAATATATTTTAAAATGTATTTAAAATGGCAGCAAGTACCAAAATGTTCATGTACCAACACCAACTTCAAGGAGAGGGTTGTATTAAGGAACACCATGGGAAGAGTGTCAGATTCATAGGCAAGGATGACACACAGCCAGTATTTGAAATGTTTATGAAATGAGAGATTGGGCTTTGTTAAAAGTGCCAAGTTTTTAAGTGCTGACCAAAAAGAGAGAGGCTAACAGCTTGAGCAAAGCTTTCTACTCCCTTGCATGTATGATGTTTGATACGTGTGACTTAATGCATGTGACCATGATATCGGTTACCATGATTAGCTTATGAACTGTTCAGAAAACAGGTAACCAAACATAACGTTCATATTCCTCCATGGTACTAGGTGGGATACAGTACTCTGGAAACTTGTAATAACAGAGAATGATTTACATTGTACATGTACATGTAGCACAGAACCTGTGCCGGTAGTTTAATGGGCAATACTCATACGGGTTCCTGTTCATCTCCGTGCGCACTTATGTTGTCGCGGCAGATGTAACCCAAAACTCAGCTCTGGTAGGGCCGAATTGGTCGTGCTGTATTGGGTTACATGTACAGTATGTACTGTGCATTTGTGAATGAAACTTGCTGCTGTACCAGTACATGTACATGTACACATGCACCATAACATGTCTTTGCCGTGTGTAATTGTGGGATCTTGTATACATGTACATGTATGTTATATTCACAGCATGCTCTGATTTTTGTGCACACTCTCTTTTATTGGTGGGGGGATGTAGGTGCTGTGCGCTTTTTGCTCTGCCAGTTTCAAGTGACTGTTTGCATATTGAGATGCGTTGCAGCGGCCTGCATATTCCGTTGCCACACTGAGTGATACATGTCCAAAGGTCGATGGCAATCCTTTTAGGCTGTACAAGATGGAGGTTTTGTAAATGATAAGCAGAAATCTTTTCAAAAGAAATTATGCAAATTTCTCCTAGGAAACATTATAATTGACCTTTCACTGTAGAATGGTGTCGTTGCAGCGTGTAATGTGAAATATTTTGCAAAAATGGAGTCTTTCAAAACTCAGTGTACGAAACCCCGTAAGGTTGTGCAATTATGTCGTAAATTTATCTACTGTAAGCTTGCATTTGATGTTCACTAAATTTCACGAATCAGCTCAATACATTGTTCATCATAAACTTGAAAAAGAAATCCACAGATTGATTATTGAGCAACACAATGACTATATCAGAGACACGTGTATGTGTATCTATTAAATTACTAAACAACTTAACAAGTGTTACACTCTCAAATTTCATCTTTTTCTGGCATCTGTTATGTTTACTTCCCACCTGTTCACATGTATGCTGAAAGTTTAGTTTTAGAAATATGGGGTATAGCCTTTGTTTTGTGCAATTAACAAAATGCCCACAGCTTTCATGGATAAAAACCCTATTGGTTCATTGTATCCTGCACTGCTGCAGTACAGTGCATGTACACAGGTACACTGTACATGTATACGGTACATGTACGCATGTACCATACAGCTTTGTGTAAAGCTGTCATTTATAAGTTTGTTTCTGTCCAAACATGCACTCAAAACTGCCTTTCCCTTGTGTGATTATTTCAGTAGAGATCTTGTCAAGAGCCACTTAATACTTTCCTGTCTGTGGCTGTTCAAACACAATTAGCACACTCTGCCGTTTACGTATATGTATGTACATATACGTGTACCTGTACGCATCTGATATACATACATGTGCAACTACAATGTACCGGTACCATCGGTGTATATATCCACCTTGCATTTGGGACTGAAATCTGGCAGATATGTCAGTATACAGTGTGCTACAATGATATGCATGCACTGGTGCTGTACCTGCCGAACCCCTTAGTAAATTCTACACCGTTGCACCACTTCTTTTGATAGGTTTGCTTGTCGATCATTTCCCTCTTCTGAAATTCGGGCTTGAAGTTGGCTTGCCATTTATTTGCTTGCAGAAAGCTTGGTGCAGTCTAGCTTGGGAGAGGAACAAATACTGTACATGTACATGTACCGGTACATTCGAAGTCATTTCTTGGGGAGTCAGGTTGGCGTAGTGGTTCTTTCCCCCCCTTCCACCTCTGCGGCCCGGGTTCGAATCCTGGCCCGGTCCACATGCGGATTGGGTTTTCAGTCCCTACCTGATTCCGTGGGTTTTACGCAGAATATTCCTCTGGGGTTTTCCTCCCACCTCTAAAACCGTAACTGCTTCTCAAATGTGTCTTCTCTACAGGTTTCTTCAGGCTTGTGAGTTACAGTGCCTAGGGCGCTTTTGAGGAATCCTTGGTGTCATTACCAGAAATATATAATAGTAATAATAAAAATACAAGCTCATGATGTAGCGAGCTTGCTGCAAGCTTGCGATAATTTAGCTGGCATGCTTGCCGTGGTTTCTAATGTTAGAAACATACAAGGTACTACCAAGCCTGTGGGCAAGCTTGATGAAAGCTTGAAGGTATTCAGTTTTCAGTACACTTTTGTAATGGTGCAGAAATATGGAGCTGTAGTTTTGTGTTTGTTTCATAAATGTTAGAACAAGAAAAAGAAATTAAGTGTAGCAAACTTGTTGCATTACAAATGTCAAAAAGAGAAAAGGCTTCAGCCATCCCATAAATGACAGCTGACGAACACTGCAAATGGAGGAAATCTAATATATTTGAGTGACACATTCTTGATGTTGGTGGATAACTGTGCTTGGCACAGGTGTCACTCTAGGGTTATTTACACGTACATGACACCCCTGCATATGGCAGTTCGTACATGTACATGCATCTTTTGTGCACAGCTTTACATGTACCATAACTTCTCACTTCCTCTGAACTGTGTTCCAGGGAGTTGCTGGAGCGTCAGTTCCAACAACTGAAGTTGGAGATCCTCAACTCGGCCCAATCAATGCCCGACCTCTTCCAGCTGGTGCAGGAGCTGTGCAATGCCGCTGAGAAGTATTTCGTGCTCAAGAAGCTCTTCTGGAAGGTGAGCTCACATGGTCTTCAATGTTGCCTGCAGTTCTTAAACTGTTTGGGAATTCTTCCCAAAGTACCAGTAATACATAGAGGGTCACTGTGAATTTTGTGCGGGAACAAAACACCTGCATGCATATACGCAATTGCAATTGAAAGTTAACCCGGGAATGTGAAATTCTCTTCACACATTTTGTCTTCCCAGGGAATTTATTTCATTTTACACACTGAAAAACTTTTTCCGCAGTAGGAAGAGATTTTCACTCCTTTTCATGAAAGTGGGAAAACATTTTCATGGGCTGTGAAATGTGAATGTCAATGGGAACGTTTCCACCCAATTTCACAGTTTTAACTTTCAGTTACAAATTGTACTGTGCATGAACATGTACTGATACGTGTACCGGTACATTACCGCTGCTTACAGGACATGCATACATGTATGTGAATGAAAGACAAATGGTTACACCTGGCACTTGTCACCCATTGCATGCATACATGTACAAACATTGCATGTATTCTGTAGCTGATGTTTTATGCGTACTCATCAAGACCTCCGGAGTGGTTTGAGAATTCATGAACCCTGTGAGACATCCTCCCAGTCAACCAGAAGCGATTCAGGGTTATATAATACTTTTGAATTCTGAACAATGTTTCCGTTTCACCTTAGAATGAAGATCTGTTTGAGTTCATGATCACCCAGCTGAGTCGCTATCTGCCAAAGTCACAGCTGCAAATCCAGAACAACGAGAGGGGTCGACACCACAGAGCCGATGAATTGGAGTAAGCTCCCTTTTTCACTTATTTAATCCTGAGGCTGTGAAAGGGATTTTCAGTTAGGGAAACGGGAGTAGGGGTCAGCTGTAGGGTTGAAGTTTTTTTGCACTGAAATATAATTGATTTCATTTCTCAATATCAGAAAATACTTCTTGTTGCAAGAAACATTTTCATGTCTCTACAAAACTTTCTAGAAAATGAGACAAAGATATTTTTTGGAATAAGAATTGTGCTCGTTTTTTAAAGAAGCCATTTTTGCGGTAATGTTAAAGCAATTATTTATTCCCTTCTGAGTTATTTGATTTTACCAAAACCTCCAGTGCCCTACTAATTACAAGGTATTCATTGAATTCCTTCCACTTTTCTTTGAAAGAGTTTCATTTGTGGAATTGGGGAGCTTTTATTTGGCTTGAAATGTTTGTGGCTAGTTTTGTGTGCCATATGAAAAAGCGAGCTTCCATTTTCTGGAAGCAACTGTATAGACAAATTCACTGGAACAGGAAAAACAATGATTACAGTAACCAGTGGAATATGAATCACATTTACATGTACGGTAATTGTTGCAGGTCTAGTCAGCATGGACTCACAAAGAGAACCAGACAGCTTTCAAAAGAATGTTTGTGTTCATTCTGTCATTCTCATTTCCTTCTCCATTTTGGTGGATAGAAAATCGCAGTTTTAGAGTATGGGATATAATAATGAGTCTGCTTTTAGGTCATTTCCATCTCCATTTAAATGTCATCGTTATGTGCAGATATAATGTGCTTTCAAGCTCAGGCACTTGCATGTATATTGTACATGTACTTTGTATGTGAATATAGTTTTCTTCTGCACTGTATATTACCAGGTTAGCTATTCTCTTGATTGAGAGCCTCGGGTTAATGTTCCGTGAGACGGAGATGGTGCCGGGCAGAATCAGCACCGTCAAGGCCAACAAGTGAGTACGCGAGTTCACCCGGTTACTCCTTGTGGGGAGTATCAACCCTTTCACATTCAAGGAGCTGTGTTGCTAGGACCGTGAACGTGAAGCCTTGTCCCATGTGGCAAGTTGTCAAGTTGTAATTAATATATTGAACTCTTGCATGAAACGTTCTCCATAAAATCCGACAAGCAGAGACCTCCACCTCCACCTGAAAGCCACTGCCGTTAAGTGCCCAGTGTTCATGATCCTTAAGATGCTGCCAGTTCTCATTCAGTTGCTGTGCTACACTGGTACTTCTATCGTTGATAATATAACACCATTTTATTATTAATTCTCTGACCATTGCCATTGGACATAAGTTCGCAATCCCTCTATTCATCAATAGTAGTTTTTCTTAAAAAAAAAAAGCTGATGAGAGCACAGTTTATCAAGACCTCCAGATGACTCCACCAGAGTTTATCACTCCTGCCCATTAGTTTGGTCTTCATGGTGAACGTTTCGAATATCCTCCATTCTTTCCACATCTCTGGTAGAATAGACTCTACAGATGCTGTAGTTATGGGGACTACACATGTGTTGAAGGACAGGTGTACAGGGAAGAATTCATTACAGGGACAAAATTCTGTCCCCAAAACTTGTTCCTTTATTTTGTAACAAAATTACAGCAATTCCGCTCATACACTGCTGGGCTGACCAGGGCTTGGTCTTGGTGTCCAAGTAGTAGACCTACGTGTACATTGTACGGTAGGCCTACATGTACATGTCCGTGTACATAAGGAGCAGAATGCACCAGGAATTTTGCAAATTTATTGGCAGTTTATTTGCCCTAATTGCATATGTTTATCGCCCTCCGCCAAACAGGGGTACTTAAAGCATGCAAGGATGGATTACCAGAAATATTTCATCACAAGGATAATTTCTTTTCTGTTGTCTTCAGTGGCAAAGCCGTGTTGGATCTAGTCATGGTCCTGACCTGTTTGCCAGAGGTGCCTCAACGATGGCGTCCGCCCAAGAGCAAGGCCCACTCATTGCTGCTAGAAACTGATGCAGATAGCTGGGAGACCTACGGAGATGCAGAGGTCAGTCATACATGTACACGTTATCGGGGTAAAGGGTTCAAAGTACAAAGGCCAGCCAACAATGGCCCCTTGTCAAATTATTACATCTTCACATGTACATTTACATGTGTAGGTTGGACATGTTGGAAACCAATTAAATTTAGCAGGATTTTGTGCTTTCATATGTAGAATTTATACGAGCAAAATATGTTAAGTATACTTAAAGGAACCAGGAAATAGAAATATTTTTATAAATTTTACTAAAAACCCTTGAAATTGCACCTTATTTTAAATTTTTGTTTTGCAATTTTAACCTATTATTTTGATGCTTTTTTGGTTTTTTTTGCTAATGCAATTTACATATTCAGGAGTAGAACTATGATGTCATCCAATGCACTGAATCTTAATTTTGCACTTATTTGTGCACAAAAAGTTTCTAGACATTCAATTTATTGCTGTGTAAGTACATGTATATGGCAATAATCCAGCAAAAATCTTTTTTATAGAAATGTTCCCAGATAGCAAATTTGGGGTTCACAATTTGAACATGAAAACATGCAGCCTGAACCATGTTGTCCTGGATTTACATCAAAGCAAAAGTGCCCTCACTTGTCCAGAAATGCTCGGTCAATTCTTAATGTTTGAAAAAGTGCACCGTTCAGTTCACATAGCTCAAAAAAGATGTCAAACAGTCTTCATACATGGAAGAAGAGTGCAGAGATACACAAAAAGTGATTCTAAGAAAATTCATTTCCTGGATCCTTTAAAATAAAGCACCCACAGGTGGATGGCTGGGATCTGTTCTTCAAGATAAGCACCAAGCATCTAATTCTATTTTGTGAGCAATGAGAGTTAGAATTTTTATGGAAGAATGACTTTCATTTTATCATAAGTTATATGCAGTATTTTAAAATTTTTGTTTACATTTTAGTGGGGGGGTTCAGTTTTTATACCAGAAATTGTATGTTTTGTTGTTTTTCCAGTTTTATCCATCTTTTTATAAACTTGTCGTGTACATGTACAGCGTGTACTTTTTACTATCACTATTTTTGATAATGGACAAAACATTTCAGCAGAAAGAATTACATGTAGCTCATGTACTGGTACAGCCACGTAAAAATCTTTCTGTTTTATCCTGCAACTCGTGTCATCTGGAGTTTGAATACAATGTCTTATATGTAGAGACTTGAGGTAAAGTACACGTATGTCACCACTGACACTTCCAGTTTTTAACTTTTGATCTCAGTCTGATGATCTGCTTAAAAGCACAAAAGTATCCACTGGAACAACCCTTACCATTTTTAATTAAGGTGTCAGGAAGTTTTTCTTTGTTTTTCCTTTTTTCTCTCAATTAATTGGAAGAAACAACCCACTTTATGTTGAGGCCAAAAGTTACATTGTGTAGAAATTTTGTGTTACCGCTGCAAGTTTCTCCCAAAATGTTGGAGAGAAAGAGTGGCACGAATGGTAATTGTAGAGAGTCACACATAACATGCATGACAGCCTCCTACACAGACAGCTCTGTCTTTTACCAAGTTTCACTTCTTCCTCTTTACGTGCTTCAAAGTCATTCTCTTTATGCTCTTCAAAGTCAAGTGGTTGTATTTGTGACCGGATATTGCATACTGTATTTCATCACTTTTTCATTGTGTAGAGTTTGTGTGATTTACTGGAACTTCAAGCATAAAAGCTCAGATGTTTTCTAAATATCTGTGGTTAATTGTACCCATTCCAAATATAGAGACCACCACTAGTTACACGAGTTGTGACCTTCATATTATACCGGTATCTAGTACTGTTTACGCGTTACACTGTGCCTCATCCATTGTCAACTGTCTGTCTGTACTGAGAACAGGCAGTTTTGTGCTCGTACAAATTTTACAAAACTCCAGTTACGGTATTTCACAATTCTTTCATTTCCTCCCAAAGTAGTAAATAATGTACTTAATGAAAAGCATGGGCTCAGATAGCACCAATATCATAAAAAATTTTTCTGGGAGAGGACATGAGGTTTTTAACATTGCTGTGTGAAGGACAGGCATCATTTTAATGATACGGTAGGTGAAACCCTGGTGTGACATGCATCTGGATTGCTGGAAAGCCAGGGGTTGCATCATTAGCATTGCAAGAAATTTAGGGAAGGGCAGAATTTTTAATTTTGCTTGTGGCAGGGAACGAACCGTCCAACCGTCAAGTCATTATGCCCGTGTCACAGACCCCTCTTCTATCGGTGAAGTACATGGTCTGTTGTTTCATTGCCAAAAAGCCTTGGGAATGGAAAGTTACCTGTATTCCCAGAGGTGTGTCTTGCAGCTTGATTAATCACTTCAGTGCTGGCTAAGTGTAATGCTATAATCATCAGAGGCTACTATGCACAGTTGTGCTGCACAAGTGTGTATGTGTTCATTTTGAGGACACTGAACAGAGAAATTCCCCATTAAAGGAGCAACTCCTATATGATATCAGGTCAAAAATCATGTGGTTTGTACTAATCAAGAGAGAAGTGATGCAAAACCAAGGTGCAGAACAAAAGACAGAGAAAATCAGGAGAAAGACAGCTTACCGCAGTGGAAGTTTCGATGTTCACTCCAGTGCTGACATATACGCTTATGCTTGAGATCCTTACCTGTTATACTGGCCTGTAAAGATCAGCTCATTTTTTTTTCAATTCTTGACAAAGTCTTGCAGTGCAAAATCAGTGCACAATGTCTACTGGCTAGAAAAGCTAAGATGTTCACAATATACAGGTACTGGTGCATGTACATCATGTACATGTATGTATGCAAACAATGTGATTCATGTAGGTTCATTAACGAAAGACTTGCTGTATTTTCTGGAGGTTGAGCTGATCTTTATCCTAGAAACTTCTGAAATACGGGCATGCACCATTTTGTAGGGCTTCAGCCACAAAACATGACCCTAATTTGAGGGCACAGAGCAGAACTGCGGACCGGTACATTTAATTGGAGGTTTCTCTTCACAAAAGACACGTTGAGGGAAAAAAGGACTAAAGAATACATGTAGTACGGGTTTTGAGTGCATTACACGTACAACCCACAAATTATGTGCTGACTTTACAAGAATGTTTCATTCTGATGTTGCATGCTGACATTTCATTGTACGTACATGTGTATTATCTTTTAAGAATCTTGACGTTTGCACCATCATCTCACCTTTTTTTAATTTTGAAAGCCTACGAAACTGGTCAGACATTTTGTGCTTTTTGCCAAGTAGATGTACATGTATGAAGTGCCCACACCCTGTACATGTATTGATACATGCCTCTTCTTCCACATTGATGTTCATGAAGTCAGGATTTTAGTCCATCAGAACATGTATATTAGCACCTGTACTTGTGACACTCTTGACCGTATTACTCAGTAAAGCATGTACATCATGTTTCATGTCAGGAAATTCTCATGCATTATCATTGTTTGGCCCTCGTGTTACTAGATGCATGTATGTCAGGTTTACATGCGCAGTTTGGATGGGGAGAATATTACAGGGAAAGCTGTCGCACGTGCCCAGCAGGGAGTTCCTGCCCGGGGTCATGTGACAGAGATTTGAAATAAGGCCTCTCTGCAACGGCGGTCCTTCTCACTTTCTTTGCTCTGTCTCTCAGGTTTTTAATCTGGTCAAGGAGTTGACGGATGCCTCCACGGCGGTGCTGTTTGAGCTGATCCTGATAGCCCACCAGGCCAATTGGGGGAACAGCGAGGGGCGATTCTTTAACATCTGCTGGATCATCAAGGTGCTGGAGTCGCTGCAGACCACAACGGTAAGTTCAACTCTGGACTCCCCGGGTCGCTTTTGTTTCCGGTGACATACATGTATAATGCAAATAAACTTTCTGAATCTTCAGCTGTACTGACAATAATAACATTGATGCTGTTTTCGTTAATTGATTTTCCCCAGAAAACCCTGAATTTATGTATTGTTAAACATCACACACTACACCTGATAAAATCACTTCATGCCATTTTTAAGCTGATTTTTTTCCCCCAAATTGTTTTCAACCAGTTAAACAACACCATAGGTACTAAAAAAAAGTTCCTGTCTTGTTAACACGTACATGCACGTACCGGTGCAATGTAGGCCTACAGGTACATGTCTACATGTACATCTTCATCCTTCCTCCATCCAAGCATCTACTCTGTATGGATATGAAAGTACATGTACCTTTAATACATAGTGTATATTTTTCATTCATGTACAAATTTACACAAGTTTTTTTCTGGCCTACTGGGTAGAGAAAGGTCGGGAGCATGATATTCTCAGGTGTATGCTCAGTTTTTCTGTACAAGCAGAGGTGAAAATACATGCACATACATGAATAAATGCATGGGATAAGCTAGTCATTAGGAGTTTGCACACACTAGGTCCCCTAGGTAACAAGTTTTGCCTACAGCTAGTTAACGTAGCTGCTGGGGACGAGTTTTTTTCCCCTGCAAATTCTTCAACCTTTCAATTTATTTATTGCGCCCATGAAGAAATGTAGGGAGATACAACTCTTGAGTTTAGGCATCAGTATTTTCATTCTTTTCCCATTTTTGTCAACTGCCCTGATAAAAATTGTGGCGAGTGCCCATACATCAACTGGTTTGCATACAAAAGATCCCTAGCGTATATATAGGTGTCAACCATGGCCATGTATTTTTGGGCCAATTGTTTTGGTACAAAGGAGTTCCTAATTGGGATTTTGTAACCTTAACTCTTTTGAAAATGTGGTTTTGCTCCTTAACAAATCGGCTCACCCAAACAAAGGAGGTCTTTAATCCCTTTTAGCTCTTGTGTATGGTGTGGGCTCCCCAATTCAATTCTAATTACTGAGGAAAGGCATTTACAGTTTATTGTTGGTTGGGGGTGGGTCCATTTAGTATCACATCCGTCCATGTGTAGGATCTTCCACGCTTTGTCAAAACCAAGCATGGTGCACAGATGCGTCAATGGGGAAATGAAAAAAGATTTCTATAACGTCCTCCGTGGAACAAATAAGGAAACTTGTTTGTGTTCATACGTCATCCGACGTCAAGTAGTTAGTAGACAAAAATCGATTGTAAGTCTTTCCTTGTACCATTAGGCATCTGAATGGAGAATACCCACGTGAATTTTCGCATTGCTAGTCTTTGTGACGATCGTGTAATTGAAAAAAAAAACCCCACAAACCACATGGTGTTTATGGGACAAAAAGAGGACCAGTTCCCAAACTTTTCCCACAGGTTCATCTATGCGGGCTCGTACAAACTCAATGTACATGCACATGTATTTCCAATGAGAGCAGTTTACCATATATATTTCTTAAGTGAACAGACACAAAAGTGTGTA